CTTGAGAGTGCATTGGAAAACACAGCACGCTATGCAAATGTGAAGGATTGTCAAACTCTGGACTTGAGTTTCCTCCCCAGTGAGCTGGCCTTCCTTGAAACAAATCAACATATGCAAAACACCTGGCTCACAGCTGCTGCACAGTAGATGGCCAAGCTGCAGGTGCCGTCCCGGCCCAGGCTTCTGCCTTTGGTCCCACCCTGCCCCTCATCTGGAAGGCCCAAGGCCTGACCCCCCCATCTCTCCCCCTCCACCCCTCATCTCGCCCAACATCCATCACTCCCCAGGGTTCACGCAGGTCACAGGTCCTCTGGCTGCTTTTCCATCATAGCTTTCTTCACCTATCTGATAATGAGCTGTTTGTTTTTGTAGTCACGTCTGTCTTGCTGCTACTAAATATATCCTCTGTGACGGCAGGGACTGCCTTGTCCTGGTCTTATGGGACAGGGTCTGGCACATCGTAGTCACTTAATAAATATTTGTTCACATGATGGATGGACGCCGCCGGTTTGTTGGTGTGTTCCCTTTCTCCTACATCCCTGCTTGAAAGCTAGCGATTCGGTGGGGAAATGACTAGTCTTTGCGGTTCCCGTCCAGATCCCAGGAAGCCTGGCTCTGTAGCTCCCCGGCCAGTGCCCCAGGACAGGTCCTTGGACGTCTCTGGTGTCTATTTCCTGGTCTGTAAAGTAGGAATAATAACATATTCCCATATTTTGGGAGGCTCCGAGAGATAATGGATATGAAAGTCAAAAGCAAGGGGTTATTACTCTGTCTGTCGGTGACGCAGGACTTGGCCTGCAGACGGCGGCTTAGCAGGGCCGATGACTGAAGAACCGCTCCTCGCATTTAGGGGTTCCGGGGTTCCGATGGCAACGGCGGCTGTTACTGAGTATTCTCTGGCAGGCTTTAGACGGAGCGCATTTCTTACTGGAATGCCCTTCATTCTCCTAACAAGCTGTGAGATTAGCCCTGCTTTCAAGTCGCCACCCCTGGTGACTATTACATTACTATGATCTAATTTTCTTCACAGCACTTATCACTAACTAAAATTAGATCACCTCCCTGCTTGTTTACGGTCGGTCTGCCCCAATTAGACCGTCAGTTCCATGGGAGCAGAGTCTTATCTGCCATGCTGTTGGCTGGTTTTCCTGTGCCGAGAACTGCCCAACAGCAGACACGCCATAGACCCACTTAACAGGTGAGCGAATCGGCTCCAAAGGGCTCCGGTGCCTCACCCAACACACAGTTTCCAAAGCCACGGGCTGTGACCCGGTGCCGCTTCCTCCCATGGTGCTGCGGGTTCTGCTGTATTGTGCTTGTGCCCTCGGAGATCTGAGGTCAAAGGGCTGCCCAGGGCCAAGGCATCTCCTCTCCTCCCCTCCCCCTCTCCCTCCCCCTGGTGATATCTCAGGAGTTCTACCTTGGACACCAGCGGAGTTTGCGTAGGCCTTAGGGAAAGTGACCTCATAGGACCGGCATCTCCTGGCTCCCACTTTGTTCTGGGTCTGTCACCTATGAATAGGGCTTTTTCTTAGAACCCTTTTCATATTCATCCTATATCAAATCCTGAAACAAAACTATATTATATATATATATAATTTTTTTTTCTCTTTCTCACACAGCGGCTCCCCAAATGTTTAAGAGGGCAGAAATCAAAAGTTCTTGGATTTCAGATTTAACACACGGGTCAGTGCAAGCTCTACCCATGGTCAAGACTTTCTGGAAGCCAAATGACTAGTCTAGAACATGAGGTTAACGGGAGACGTGCACGTACACAGAGACAATGAGCAGAGGACTCCCAGCGCCTGGGCCAGGACTGGCGGTTGTCACCATCTTGCCTTCCTGCTCCGTCCCTCCTGCCTTGTGTGGGTGGGAAATTCCTTTCTGCCTTGCAGCAGAGAATTGGCTCAATGTATTCCAGAGGGTGGAAATTTCCAGAACCGGAAGGGCATCTAGATTGAGGACTAGCGCTGGGGTTAAGAGCTGCATCTGGGGAGTCCAAGAGGTCCCAGTTCAAGTTGCGCCTCTGTCACACACTGGCTGCCTGAGCCTGAGTAGGCGGGGCATGTTGCCTGTCTGAGTCCCAGTCTCTCCTCTGAAAAGGGGGATAATAATGCCTATTTCTCAGGGCTATCATGTGAAGTAGATGACACCTGACACATTAAAATAGTTGACATCATGTCTGCCTATGGGAAATGCTTAGGGTATGGTAGCTTCTGTTTATCAAGGAATCATACTTCGGGCTTCCAGTAGGGTGGAGTGGAGACTGGTGTAGGCCAGGAAAGCCTCCCAAGCAAACAGAAAACCTGGTCTATTCTTTTGTTTCTAGCAGCTTTATTGTTGTCTTCTAGAATTTATAGAACTATAATGTTTAAATTATTATTAATTTATTGGAGAGAGAGAGAGAGAGTCCTGTCTTCTGTTTACTCCTCAAATACCCACAGTGGTCCAGGCTAGGCCAAAGCCAGGTTTCCCATGTAGATGGCAGGAACCCAGTTACTTGAGATGCTAACCTGGATGTTACCCCTGGAAGTACTGCGCTGGGAACATTGCCTCCCAGGGGCCGCACTGGCCGGAAGCTGGAATGGGGCGTGTGAGCCAGGACTCCAGTGTAGGCACACACACATACGTGGGCTGCAGCTGTCCTAATGCTAGGTCAAACACCTGCCCCTACAACTTATTTTTACAAAGGAAAAGATGACTGGTGACTCTTCGAAGCGGACTTTCACCCCACCAGAGTCAGCCCCGACTTGCCGCGTGGCCATGCCTATGCCAGGACGGGACCCCTCACTGACCAGCCCCAGGCAGCCCTGGAGTACAGCAGTGGCTCCCGGGTACAAGCGCTGATGGACCAGGCCCAGGTCCAAGCAGTACTCCTCAGAGTCCTAGATTGTGGTGCTTTCTGAGACTGGCTGAGCAGGGAGGCAGAGGGCCAAGCCCTGGGGACCCCAGGGAGCGGTGCTGGTGAGGGGGGCATTATCAGGCCCTTCCCTGCCTCTCCCATGCTTCCTGGGCTTGGAGGTTCCTGCTGGCCTGCGGCTGCGCAGGGCTGGGTGAGGGCCTTGCCGAGTTCCTCTAGCCCCAGGCCCAGGAGGCAGCTAGGAGGTGCCTTGAGGTCTCTTGATTTATGGCAGCAGAAACTCCTCTCCTCATCCCCAGAACAGGAAAGTTTCTGTCATTTCTCCCTCTGTGACAGCTCCCGCTCCCTCCCTCTGAGAGCCCCGGGAGGCCCAGTGGGGTGGGAGACACTGCCCCGGGGGGCGGGGGGACATTGCTTCCTGTAGCGTGATTTGCTAAGGCCCCTCCTTGTCCACGCACCAGGCTGCAATTGCGCCACTAATGCGGTGCTAGTGCATTTTTCTGCTGGAGCAAGGGCCGCTCGCCTGTGTCATGGCACAGCAGGGCGGCTCATGGGGAACAGGAGGTTTCGGTCCAGGCAAGCCCGGGTTAAGTCCTGACCGTGCCATGGCCAAGCTGGATGGTCTGGGGCATATCCAAATCACGAAGCGAAAGATGCTTACCTCGCGATGTCTTGAAGGGAGCAGAGCGAGTGAGTGGAGCGCACTCATGGACTTGGGTGTAGCAGCTGGCATCGCTCCCAGGTCCCTGGTCCAGGGGAGTGAGTCCTCAGACCCCAGAGAAGGGGAGGGTTTGTGCCCCCAGAAGCCCAGTCCATGCCCGCTTCTTCCCTGGGCTCCCTCTTTCCAGCCTGGACAGCTTCACACACTCTGCTCGAAACTGAACACGGCCAGAGCCTGCCTTTGCTCCTGACTGCAGCGTGTGCCTCACCAGCGACTCCCGGAAGCCCCAGGCTGCCGGCATCAGTCTCCCCCGTGCGAGCGTTAGAAGTGGCGTCTAAGCCACCCAGGCCTGGAGAGCCAGGCTGCAAGAATGCCGCTCTGCCATCTGTGCTTTATTTATTGATTGACTTAAAGATTTATTTATTTGAAAGGCAGAGTTAGAGAGAGGCAGAGAGAGAAAGAGAGAAGCCTTCCATCCTCTCTGGTTCACTCCCCAAATTGCTGGAGAGCTGGGCTGGTCCGAAGCCAGGAATCCGGAGCTTCATCTGGGTCTCCACGTGGGTGCAGGGGCCCAAATACTTGGGCCGTCTTCTACTGCTTTCCCAGACCATTAGCAGGGAGCTGGATCAGAAGTGGAGCAGCTGGGACGCGAACCAGTGCCCACATGGGATGCTGGCGTTGCAGGTGGTGGCTCAACCTGCTAAGCCACAGCGTCGGCCCCACTAGTCCCCGCTATAAAACAGGAATAGTAAAAGCACCTGTCTCACAGGGCAGCTGTGAGAATTCAGTGAGATGCTAATTCACCTGGCTCAGCTCAGCGCCCCGGACGCAGCTGGTGCTCCAACAAGATACTGTCTGGCTCACCCTCATGGCTGTTCTGCCTCACGGCCCCACCCCTGACCCTCCCTCCTCCAATTTCCCGTGGGAAAACCGCCCAGGACTGAGGGTCTCCTGTTCCACTATGTGCAGCCCGCCTCTGAGCGAGCAGCTGCTGGGGCCCTGTACAGCGAACGCTGGACTGAAACCCATTCCTCGAGACCGGGTTCTGCCCGAGGACTTCCGCTCCCTGCACCCTCTGTCCCGTGCCTGTCCCCCGAGTGCAGGTGCAGGTGACCGGTGGCTTCTGTGTCATCCCCAACTTGAAACAATGTCTGAGTTTTATTCTCTGCAGCTCCTCGCTGTCGCTTCCTGTTCCTAATTAGTCCTAATTCCCCTCGGATACGTATCTACCTGGGAAGCCTTTGCCTGAGTCCACTCCATGGGGCTGCAGTCTCAGTGCCATAGGATGGCGCTACGGCCCCACGTCCACAGCTTCTCTGTGGTGACATTTGCCGTGGACCCAGCTCCACTGCCCCCTGCCGCCTAATGGTGGCAGAAGTTTCAAGTTTCCAAGGCCAGCACCCCTGACTCCCTGGGCGTCGGCCACCCGTGGGCCTCCTTCCGGGACAGCCTGAACTTGACCCTCCTCCCTGGCTACAGTTTCAGGTCTGTGCGGCTGCTGAAGAACGACCCAGTCAACTTCCAGAAGTTTCCCTACACCAGTGAGGACGAGGCCTGGAAGACGTACCTGGAAAACCCCCTGACGGCCGCCACCAAGGCCATGATGCGGGTCAACGGGGACGATGACAGCGTCGCCGCCCTGAGCTTCCTCTACGATTACTACATGGTGCGTGTGCCACCCCGCGGCTTGGCAGCCTTCATGACCCCGCCCCCCAGCCCTCACGTTCCTCCGTCTGCCCAGCTCCTTCCCCGTCCTGGCTGCACACCACTCTCAGCTTTGGGTCTCAGGTGTCTGCTCGTGCGTACACCAGGCTTTCGTGGGCCTCCCATTCTGAGCCCCCTCTGGGCACCCTGAACACACACCACCGTCATCTTTGACTGCATCCTTGGAAACTTTCCCTTTGCATAGCCACTGCTCTGTCTCCTCCTGAGCTCCTGGAGGGCAGGCACTGGGTCCCCAGCACCCAATCCAGCTGCCCCCCGGGTGCACACACACGTGGGGTGAGTGGATTCACTCTCTTCTTTCTGATCCTCCCTTGGGTCATGGCAGCTCCCTGTCATGCCCACTTTCCTATTCTGCCCCACCTGGAACCTTCCTGTCCTTTAGCCTGGCTCTTCCTCTGGGGCCCTTCCCAAGGCCCGCTCTCTGCAGCTGACACCATTGCCAGCGCTGGAACATTTCCTGACAGCTCTGTAATCATTTCCAGGACCTTGGCCTTGACGCTGGGAAACTGGGGGCTTCCGAGAACCAGAATTAGGCCCTCGCATATCTGATCGGTGGGGCTTGTTTCAGTCGGCAGTCGGCACACATGACCCAGCACCCTAACCCCCTCCAATGCCTGTGCCAGACATTGCTAATGGATTACTGCCTGCAGTCTCACTGAGGATGCATGAGGCTACATGATCTTTGTCAGTCCAGTTCTCTGGCAGCTCCTACCCATGTATCTGAGTTGTCACAAGGCAACAAACTAACTGGCTATCTCTACTGGGTGACTGCTCCAAGAGACCGCCCTGCACTTGGCAATGGCCTTGGGGGCATGAATAGCTGATGGCTGAGCTGATGGATGAGCTCTCTGGCTCCCACCTTGAAGATTTAAAGCCAACTTACAAATAAACCCTCAAACACACTGGGCCAAGAAGTATTTTACCCACCCTGCCTCAAATTCCCTGCATGAATTCAGAGGCCAACAAAGGGTAGGGGAAGACCCCTAACTCACTCTTTCTCTCTGCCTAGGGTTCTCACCCTGGAGTACCCTGGTAGCCTCCCCTCCCCCTTCGTCCCCAGCCCACTGGTCCTGTCCTGCTAGTGCTCACCCTGATGGAAAAGGGATTCCAATGACTGTTTCAGCATGGGATGGGGTAGCAGCCGGAATTCCAGGGTGGGGCTCAAACCACGGCCTGGGGTTTACAGTTCTCGATTGAACCGTAAGATCCAGAACCATCTCCCTGGGCAAGAGGCCTTCCCCAGGGCTGGAATGGTGGGGGCAGGCCCTGGAGGCAACATGGGTCCTGGCTTTAGTGCAGCACGGGGTCTCAGGGGGCGGCACCTGCCCTAGCCTCCGTCTCCCACAGCAGCCCCGTGGGGAGTGAAGACGTGGCGTGGTAGCTGGTGGTGTGGAGACCGCACCCGGCTGGCGGCTGGGGGCCTGGTCCTGCCACACTTCCGTGGCACTGAGGGCACCATGGCACTGAGCAGCGCCTTCCCTGTTTCTAACGGACTGCCCGGCGCCAGGCCAGCCGCCTTCCCCGCCTTCTCTGTCGAGAGCGGCGAAAACCGAGAAGCCGGACTGAGAGTCCACGCTGCCAGCACTAGGGGCGGCAGCTCCGGTTCCTCCCAGCGGGTGCGGAAGTAAATTAGCAAACAGAGGTCGGGGTCACAAGGCTGGAGACAGGCAGCACTCTCAAGGAGTGTGCCTTTTATTAATAGATCTTCATGACGTAGGGATTTTACTCCCTCATTTGTCAAATGACAAAAGTGAGCCTTGGGAGGTCACTCAGCACGGCTGGCGCCCGCTCCCGGCCTCCCTCACCCCACCCTGGGCCTGCACCCCCTCCCTGCGTGCGGCCTCCCACTGCTCAGCCTGGGGCTCCAGGGCTCCTGGAAGGGCCCATGGGTTTTCTCCCTGGGCCCAGAGCGGCGCCATGCCCGGCCCGGGCTGCAGGAGGCGGGCGAGGCCCCGGCAGCAGGTCTGAGTCCATGCTCTCCGTGCTTTCCTTTCAGGGTCCCAAGGACAAACGGATCCTGTCCTCCAGCACCGGTGGCCGCAATGACCAGGGCAAGAGGTGAGGCCGCACCTGCTCCTCCCGCCCCCACCCCTGTAACACAGGGCTCATTTAGCCGGCTGCCTCGAGGCAGGGTCTGGGGTTCGCAATACCTTAGGCACTCTTATACTTTGTTTTACAATCAGAAGAGAAAAAAAATGAACACAGTGGAGCCTGGACTATGGCTGTCTTTGTGCCAGAGCAATTGCAGAAGAGACTTTTGAATAGTTTTGAAGGGGCCAGGGCAGAAGAGCCGGGGGCATGTGGAACTCATCATAAAACTGCTTCAACACGTGTGTGTGTGTGCACACATGTGTGCACGCGCGTGGGTGCACGCTTGCTTGCATGCACAGTCACACACACACACCAGATGCCACGCGGGCTGGCACTTACTGAACGTAAACCTCAAAGCTAGCAGTGGAGAAGCCTCCCTGCCTGCGGCCTCTCGCGGAGGGGCACCTGGGCTTGGGGGGAACACATGGGTTCCTGCACTCCCCCTCCCACCTCCGCCTGGCATCGGTGCCCCAGGCCACCCACGCTCATGGCACTGGAAGGAACCTGTCCTCTTTCTCCTTCCCTGACAATCAATCAGCTGTCCCCTTGAAAATGACCCCGGGGCCTATCTGCTGGCCTTCTGGAAAAGCCACGGCGCCAAGGCGGGCATCGCAGCTCCTCACCTGAGCCAGTGGCAGCGTGCCTGGCTCCGGCCACCGCCATCCCCTGCTTGCCGCACAAACGCCCATCTCAAAGCCGAGGATTGAAAATGCTATGAACTCCCCTGATGGGGAAAGCAAGCCCTGTTTCTGGGGAAACAGTCAGAGACGCTGTAGAACCCAATGCAGCGGAGAGTGAGGTCTCCTGCCATCTCCCCGACCCCTCTCGTGCTCTGGGGCGAGCCCTTTCAGACCTTTCTCTAAATGTACATGAAGTGCGCCCGTGGACGTGCACGGCCTCACGCCCCCGCCCACGGCATGACTCAGCACAGCTGTTGAGGAGTGGGGACCCTGGACTCTGGCCAAGAGATTAATGATTAAACCTTCAGGTTTTTAAATTAGTAAGCATTATAATGGGTAACACAGAGGTTGCCTGGTTCCAGTCTGTCTCTCTTTTAAGATTTAGAAAATTTGTTTGAAAGGCAGAGAGAGAGAGGGAGAGACAGACAGACAGAGAGCAAGAGATCTCCCAGCCACTGGCTCACTCGCCAAATGACCACGACAGCCAGGGCTGGGCCAGGCCAAAACCAGGAGCCTGGAACTCCATCCAGATCTCCCATGCGGGGGGCAGGGATCCACGTCCCTGGGCATCCTCTGCTGCTTTCCCAGGTGCATTAGCAGGGAGCTGGATGGGAAGTGGAGCAGCGGGGGTGCTGCCGGGCACCCTGGCTTGGATGCCGGGGCTGCAGGCAGGGGCTTGGCCCTCTCTGCCACAGTGTCCCTCCTGCCACCCTCCTCCTGGGCGTCCCTGGACACATTGGCCGGCCGCTGGGGGCGGGGGGGCCTGACCGTTAGGTTGGCTCAGGGCAGTCAGCGTGGTGGCGTGACGGTCACCCCCCAGCCCAGTGCTGGCTCAGCGCCTCCCCTCTGCCCCCAGGTACTACCACGGCATGGAGTATGAGACGGACCTCGCGCCCCTCGAGAGCCCCACCCACCTCATGAAGTTCCTGACAGAGAACGTGTCCGGGACCCCGGAGCACCAGGATCTGCTCAAGAAAAACAACCTGATGAGCCTGGAGGGGGCTGTGCCCAGCCCAGGCAAGGCCGCGCCCCTGCCCCCGGGCCCCAGCAAGCTGGAGGCGGGCTCTGTGGACAGCTACCTGCTACCCACCAGCGACATGTATGATAACGGCTCCCTCAGCTCCTTGTTTGAGAGCATTCACGGGGTGCCACCCACGCAGCGCTGGCAGCCGGATAGCACCTTCAAGGATGACCCGCAGGAGGTGAGACCCCGTCTTGTACCCCTCCCGGCGTCCCCAGATAGATACATGCATGTCCAGAAGTATAGAAGCTAGTGAGAAAGTCAGAGCTTTGGAATCTGGTAGAGTGCTAGGGCTGGGTCAGGGTTGCCATGTACAGTTGCCTGAATTGTGTACTGCCCAACCTACACACCTGTATGCACAGCCCTGGGCTGAGGCCTCTGTGGCCTGAATTGTGGTCACTTACTCCTTGGGGATTGTGTTTCTCTGCAGTCACTGCTCTTCCCAGATATCCTGAAAACATCCCCGGAACCGTCATGTCCCGAGGACTATCCTGGCCTCAAGAGGTAACTTGGCTCCTCTGGGCTCTTGGTCAGCTGGCAGCGGGCAGGGGTCTGCAGACAGAGCACCCCCCATGCGCGTGCACACACACACACACACACACACACACACAGTTGTGCTGTCTACAGAGCGTGGCAGCACAACCCACGAATGAAGGTAAAGCAGAGATTGCTCACCCGGCCGTGATGGTGCTCAGAGCCCGGCTTCCTGTTCCAGGCCCTCAGTCTCTGCCATGGCTTTGTCACCCCACAGCGGTGTCCACTTTTCACTGGACCCTCCTTGCCCACAAGACTGTGGCTCAGCAAAGCCATTAACAGAACCCCCAGCATGGGGCACTGGGCCCTGGGAAGTCGGGCGGCTCACCCAGCCCCAAGGAAGTCGGGCGGCTCACCTGGCCACACGGCAGGGCCATGGCAGATGCCCAGGCTCCCTGCCCCATCATTCCCTCCCGCCTCCCCGCAGTGACTTCGAGTACACCCTGGGCTCCCCCAAAGCCATCCACATCAAGTCAGGCGAGTCACCCATGGCCTACCTCAACAAGGGCCAGTTCTACCCGGTCACCCTGCGCACCCCGGCTGGCGGCAAAGGCCTGGCCTTGTCTTCCAACAAAGTCAAGGTGCGTTGGCTCTGGGGCATTGTGGGAAGGCATGGCCCTGGGGTCTTGTGGGTAGGCATCTCCAGAGGCATTGTGGGAAGGCATGACCCTGGGGCATTGTGGGAAGGCATCTCCTGGGGCATTGTGGGAAGGCATCTCCTGGGGCATTGTAGGAAGGCAGGAGCAGGCAAGACACCTGCTGATTGGACCCACGAGCAACCCCAGGGAGGGGCTGTTTGAGATGGGGTGGGGAAAACTGAGGCGAAGGGCAGGGAAGGAATGGGGACTGCCTGGCCCCCTGAGGCGGGGTGACAGTGACCCGTGCTTGCAGAGCGTGGTGATGGTCGTCTTTGACAACGAGAAGGTGCCAGTGGAGCAGCTGCGGTTCTGGAAGCACTGGCATTCCCGGCAGCCCACTGCCAAGCAGCGGGTCATCGACGTGGGTGAGCGCCCGTCCCTGCCCTCGGCCCTCGCTCCCTCCCAAGCCCAGAGGCCTCCGGCTCCAGGTTGGGGATCTGCGCCCGGGCTGGAGCTGTCCTCTCTGAGCTCCTGGGGGGCGGGGGGACGGGGATGCCGGCCCCTGCCCCTGACACTGACACTGAACCCCTCCCCGCTGACTCCCCCCGTCTCCGGTGCTTTCAGCTGACTGCAAAGAAAACTGCAACACGGTGCAGCACATCGAGGAGGTGGCCTATAACGCGCTGTCATTTGTGTGGAACGTGTACGAGGAGGCCAAGGTCAGTGCCGGGGGGACGCAAGGGGGTCTCCGCCTGGGAGAAGGTTTGCCCACCTCCAGATCATGGCCTGTACTGTGAGGGGGGTGCTGACAGCGGGGTGGATCCCGGTGGGCTGTGTCTCCACCTGGGACTTTGACCAGTGCCTTAGCCCCTTTGAGCCTCGGTCTTCTAGGCCATCAAATAGGAGTGTAGTCGTGGCGCCCAGCATCAGGTGAGGCTGGCGAGGGTTCCGGGAGGTCACCCATTGGCCAGGGACCAGACCGGGGCTGGACTCACCGGAGCGGCCTGAGAGATGAGCCCTGGGGTTCTGTTGTGCTGGTGGTTAAGGCTCATCCTGCCTCCGTGCCTAAGCCCAGCCGGGACCTTGTGTCTGCTCCTGGCCTCGCTGTTTTCTGATTGGAAGCTGGCATGGTGGGAAGGGCAGTGGTGTGGGAGTTGGGGCTGAGCGACCTTGAGCCTGTTCCTCTCCTCTGGGACCGGGCCCCTCTCACCCACCCCAGCTGGCCCCAGAGAACAAATGCCTAAGACAGCCCTGCCTCCCTCCCTGCCTCGAGGCACAGAGGCCAGGGGTTAGCACTCTCCAAACAGCTGCCAGGGCTGGGGAAGGAGTGGCCCGGTCCCCAGAGGGAGGTGGGGAGAGTTTCGTGGGAAGGGAGAGGGGGTTTCGGTGGGGATTTTCTCACAGCCTCTTAAAGCCCCCAGGCGGGGTCTGTCTCAGGTGCAAGGCGGGGGGTGCTGCATTAGTGCTGAGCTGGCAGAGGGGGAGGTATGACCAGCACGCGCTGGGTGGGGGTCTGCTCCCCGCAGCCCGGGAGGAAGGGCGTCTGTCTGGACACCCCATCCCCACCCCCACCACCATTCCCAAGGGAAAAGCCACAAAGAACAAGAGGCAGCCTGGGGTGGGGTCTGGCCCTGAGCCCCATGTGGGGGGTGGCAGGTCATCTGGTGACCCTGTTGGGGCTTGCCCCGCCAAGGCTGACCCCCGCTACCATCAGAAGGGCATGGGGGTAGGACTTCCTGCCATCCCCCTCTCTGCAGTCACAACTAATCAAGCAACTGCCACGCGCCACGCACACTCAGCACTGGACACACCCTGGCAGCCACGCCATGCGAAATGGGCTCCGTTAACCCCATTTTGCAGAGAAGGAAATTGAGGCTCGGGGGGGTTTCAGGAGCCGTCCAAAGCCACACAGTAGAGCCCCGCCCCCACCCAGGTCTCAGCGGTCCCACATCCAGGCTCCATCAGTGGCAGCCTGCTGGGCCTCTTTCCCTGGGAACTGGGGGTGACTGGGGGCAGGGTGGGGGTGCCCTCCTCTGCAGCCAACAGAGCTCCCTCGTGGGAGGGTCTGTGGTGACTGGCGATCAGGGGCGGAGGGAGCTGGGTCCCAGCCTGGGTTCCCCTGGGCCAGCAGGGAACTGGTCTTCCTGAGCTGCGGGAAGGGGAACTTGACTCCTCTCCACCTCCGAGCTCTGAGCTGCAGAAAAATGATGCATGGATTTCATATCTCGAGGGACCTTAGCATCCCTCCCAGGGCCCAGAGCCACTGGGCTGCCCTGGAAGTCTCCTGCGAACTGGAGCCTGGACTTTGAGTCTGTGTGCGAACCCCAGTTCCACCCCACACTGCCTGTTACCCACCCACCCCCGGCCATCCTGAGCCTCAGTTTCCCCATCTGTTAAAGGGGGCTGAGCTGTTTGCCTGGGAGGCTTACGGGTGGCCTCCAAGTGTACAGAAGGATCGGCTCAGTAGACAGGGCCAGCGACCTGGGCAGCCCACCCACCCGCTCCCCTCTCCCCGCCCCGTCCCCAGGTGTTTATCGGCGTCAACTGCCTGAGCACAGACTTCTCCTCGCAGAAGGGGGTCAAGGGCGTCCCCTTGAACCTGCAGATCGACACCTACGACTGCGGCCCGGGCTCCGAACGCCTGGTGCACCGCGCCGTCTGCCAGATCAAGATCTTCTGTGACAAGGTGGCTGGGCCCCGGCGGGGAGAAGGGCCAGGCGCTGGCTCGCGCGTCCTCCCAGCCACGCTGGGTGTGCCGTCTCTGTTTCCTGCCCTCTCCGTTTCTCTGTCTCTGTGTGTTTCTGTGTCTCTTGTCTCTTCCTAAAGATCTCTCTCTCTCTCTCTCTCTCTCTCTCTCTCTCTCTCTGCTTGTGCTGACCATAGCCTGGGCTGCTGCCTTCCCATTCCTTGGTTTTGCTCTGGGAAAAAGCAGGCCTAGAAGCCTGGCCCAGATCGCAGGTGCAAAGTGGCAGTGGTGAGCGTAGCCTGTGGCCCTCGAGGCCCAGGACGATCCCTTCCCTGTCCCCGCAGGGAGCTGAAAGGAAGATGCGAGATGACGAGCGAAAGCAGTTCCGGAGGAAGGTCAAATGCCCCGACTCCAGCAACAGCGGTCAGTGGGGGTCAAAGAGCCTGGTGGGGCTTGGGGGGCAGCTGGGGGCCTGATGGAGGAGCCCGGGGCTCATGGCTGCCTCTCCCCAGCAGGTATCAAGGGCTGCCTGCTGTCCGGCTTCAGGGGCAACGAGACCACCTACCTGCGGCCTGAGGCTGACCTGGAGACCCCACCGGTGCTGTTCATCCCCAACGTGCACTTCTCCAGCTTGCAACGCCCCGGAGGGGTGAGGGCCCTGGGCAGGGCCGGGCCAGGGGCTCCGAGAGGGCACAGGCCGGAGGGGACAGTCCCCCACTAAGCAGCAGAGTGCATGTTAGGCGTTTGGGAGCTGTTCTAAGAATCAGAATCAAAATACCTTGATGAATCCCAGGGGATTTAAAAAAAAAAAAAAAAACACCCTACCCATGATCACGTGACTTCCAGAGCCGTTCCCTCACGGGGAGGAATGTGGATGAGGGAATGGACCAGTAACTATTGAGCCACTCGTGCCCAGGGGAGGCACTGAGGCTTCTGACACCTGAGCCCCAGTTCAAGGGCAGCTGCATGGAAGCTGGGGGGCAATGCCTGTCGCGGCCACACCTGCGGCCCTAGGCCCTTCTGGGCACTTTCCTGAACCCTCCTGCAGCCCTGGCTGGAGCCGTGGGCTGCGGTGGAAGTGCAGAGCTCAGGGGATGTCTCAAGATCGCACAGTTAGGATGCAGCAGAGCCAAGATTCTGACCCAGCACCTGGCTTCAGCGTCCCCGGCCCTCACTGCCATTGTTCCCTCTTTCTATCTAAATATTTATTTAAAAGGCAGAGCAACAAAGAGAAAAGATATGAGAAGGAGAGAGAGAGAGAGAGAGAGAGAGAGAGAGAGAGAGAGAGAGAGAGAGTTTCCACCTGCTGGTTCACTCCCCGAATGGCCACAGCAGCCAGGGCTGGGCTGGGGCGAAGCCAGGAGCCAGGAGCTCTATCCAGGTCTCCCTCTTGGGGGCAGGGCCCCAAGTACTTGCGCCATCACCTGCTGCCTTCCCAGGAGCAATAGCAGGGGCTGGAAGCAGAGCAGCAGGTCTTGAACCCGTGCACTGAGGTGGGATGCAGGTGTCCCGGACAGTAGCATAACCCATTGTGCCACAACGCCCGCCCTTCCTGTGCCTCTCAAGGTGGACAGGGGGTCGCTGAGCACCTGCTAGGCCACAGCTGGCCAGCTGAGCCCTGGGCTGTCATCTCACTCCTCTGAGGCCGGCCCTTTCCAGGCGGATAGGGTCACCTGAGCCAGCGGCAGAGGCAGGACCCTGCAGCTTGAGCCCCGTATGCCTCTGTGGCACACAGGATCCCTGTGTCCTTCCCCTGACGGCCCCGCTCACTACCGGCTTGGTGGGAGAGATCGGCCTAGGTCCGAGATGTGTCCAGTGTACTGATTTAGGACAAGAGGTGGATTAGGATCAGGGCAACTGTGGCCGGGCTGACAGCTGCGCTGGGCGGAAGAGGGCAGAACCAGTCCCTGCACCTGAAAGCCCCCGAGGGGTGTTCACTCGCCACCTGCCCGCCTGCCTCCCAGGACTGGGCGATGACTGCGCCCCACACAACACTCGGAAGGCCAGTGCTCTAAAGGACAGCCCGTCCCCCGCCAGCACAGGACAGGGGCGGTGCCCAGCTGTCGGGCCAGGGACCCTGCACTGCCCGTGTCTCCTGTGCGTCCTGCGTGTTTGTTGAGTCCTTGACTCATCAGCTTGGGCTGGATGATTCCTTTCAACCCAGGATCCCAGCTCCCTTAGGGGACTCAGCTGAGCTAGAAAGGCCTTGAAACAGCTTCCTCCCCCTGCCCCGCAAAGTAGGTTCCTCCCTGAAGCCTGCAGCCTCTGCGGGCCCCTCTCATCATCCTGCTGCCATGGACATGTTCTCTCTCTCTCTCTGTTGCAGGCGGTCCCCTCGGCAGGACACAGTGGCTCTAACAGGTAGGGAGAGAAACAGCCGGGCCCCCTGTGTTGCTCACCCTACCCCTGCCCACCTTCCCCTCTGCTACCCCCAAATCAGGGCTTGGGGCCAGAGGAAGAAGCCAGGAGACGCTGTCCCCCGCCCCCAAGCTCCATGCATGCTCCCCCCCCCCCGCCCCCCAAAGCTGCCTGGGTTTTTATGGGTTTGTTTTATGTGGAAAGTTGGCGAATCTCTGGCGAGACACCTGCTTGTAAAAAGAGACAGCAAGCGCCTGGGAGACGGGCGTGCAGAATCGGGGAGCAGGAGCCAAGCTGTGCTGGGGGACCTAGGCCCACCCAGGCCCCTCCCTTGCCCCCAGCAGGAGGGGCCGGTGCCCCGTGGCTCTGGGTCCTTCTCTGGGTCAGCCACAGCCTGCGTGCCCTCAGCGGCCCCTCACTACTCCACGTCTGTCAGAGGCTGAGATGCAGTGCCTTGCCCACAGCAGCATGGCTCCTAAGTAGCAGGGGCAGGACCAGAAGGCATCTGCCTGACTCCAAACCCACTGTGCTTCCTCTGCCCACCGACCTGATTCTTTCAAGACAGAGCACCGGCACTGGTGACGAGGCAGCCTTTGTTGAGGCCCTTCTGTGTGCCACACACAGTGTGAGAGCAGTGTGTGTGATCTCCTTAGCCTCACGACACTTTGGGACATCTGCCTGTTGCGACTCTGTCATCAGCCCCACTTTACAGATGGGGTCACTTGAGCCTGGAGAGCTCACCCTGGCCACACAGCCAGTGTGAGGCAGGGCTGGGATTTGAGCCCAGGCAGTCCAACACCAGACCGAACTACGTGGGCCGTGGTCTCGCCACTGCTGCTCTGTGCCCGTGCACATGTGGCCATCCCTACTCCAGGGCCCCCGGAGGCCCAGCAGGGTCCTCACGTGCTGCCCCTCGCTGTCCCCACAGGTTGCCTCTGAAACGCCCCTGCTCGCCTTTTCCCGAGGACTTTGAGCCCCTGCCCTCCAAGCAGGCCAAGGAAGATGACCTCCAGAGAGGTAGCCACGCGTCCCCGTGTGCTCCCAGCGCCCGGCCCAGCCCTCGCCTGGTGCTTTTCCCAAAGGCTGAAGCCCTGGTGCTGGCCCAGGGGGCAGGACTGGCCGAGGGGGAGGGCAGGTTTGGGCCTAGCCCTGGTGTGAGAGTGCCTGGGGTGCCTGCAGGAACCGCCCCAGGGCTGGAGGGCTTCAGCCAGCTTTGGCCCTGTCGGATGGGGACATCCAGGGGCAGCAGGTGCAGGCAGCCATCTCCCTGCACACAGCAAGGCCCTCATGCTCTCTCTAGTGGCAGTGGGAGCGGGGAGGGGGCTCTGGGTCTGGCTTTCTGGCTCTGACACTCTGAATCCACCACTTCCTGGGACTGCACGGGACAAGCCTAAACCTCTGGGGACGGTCTCTGACAATCAGAAAGAAACCAGCCAGTGGCTAAGGTCACAAGCTCATGGCTTCCGTGGTCTGAGCTTTGCACTGTGCTGGTGCTGCCTGGGGTTGTCACTAGCTCCCCCTTAGCTCGGCAACAGAGTGGCGCAAACACAGTGGGGCTGGGTGACGCTGCTCTCCACGGTCACCCGGCTGATGGGCAGCAGAGCAGGGATTCAAACCCACCAAACCCAGGGCAGTCTCAGCAGGGGCGTGGGCTTCCCAGCTCTGCAGAAATGAATCCCCCATGAAAGTCACATTTCTCGAGACTCCCAGGACCACTAAAAGCCTCCTCTTTGTCTTCAGTTCTGCTCTACGTCCGGAGAGAGACCGAGGAGGTGTTTGACGCCCTCATGTTGAAGACCCCAGACCTGAAGGGGCTGAGGAACGCGGTGAGACCCCTGCCCGCCCTGCCAGACCCCGACTTGGGCCCTGACCCCTGCTCTTTCCCACGCAGCTCTTGGCTTCCCGCAGGAAGGGGCGGGGGGAAGGTGCTCTCAGGAGGCCTACGTGTCCCACCCCATCTGGGGGTGGTGGCTGTCGGTCCTGCTGGGGGGCTGTGCCTCCGTGATGTTATCTCCCGGCCAGAACCCCGGCTCCACCCTGGGCGGCACACACACCATAAATCCTCCCTAATCTGATGGCTGCTGTCTGACAGGCAGGACTTTTGTTGGCTTTGCAGACCTGTTTCTGTTTTAATGGGAATGAAACCCAAAGGGCTAGGCCCAGGGACACTCTTTTCCCTTCCCAGGGGGCCTCCCTCCTGTTTGCGGTTGGCTGGGGGTGTGGGCTGCGGTGGCTGAAGGCGGGTCTGAGCAGAGAGACCTCCCCCAGCCCCTAAACCGCCGGAGAGTAGGACAGGCAGCCCAGCCCTGAACAAATCCCACAGCCAGCTCGCAGGCCTGCTGTGGAGTGAGCATACTCGGCCCCGCGGGGCCAGCAGTACCACAAGGGCGGACCACCCAGAAGAGCCAGATGGTTCCAAGATCTCAGGCTGGGGGAGGGGACAGGAGCCACGCGGCTGCCTTAGCCACCTTTCAGGGAAGGCCCACTGGGTGCCCGGCTTGCTGCCTCATCACGTGCCCTGAGCAGCCCAAACAGCAGGTGTGGCGCAGAGCTCCCCACCTCCCTGGAGGCCGGGTGACCGGGCTCAGCGTGAGAGCTGGGAGTGCAGCCCGGGCTCCTGGCCCCCTCCTGTGCCGTCTTCTTCACTTACCATCAGCTCTGCTCTGCGTCCGCCTCGGGGAGCCGGGCCCACGAGCGCCCACGACAGCCCAGAGAGCCCACTCATGTTACTTGCAGACAGATGCAGGATCTTTGGGCTTTAGGGGTCAGCTTCCTATCTGGGGCTTGAACCCTCCACCGCTGCTCTTGGCTTGAATACTCTCAGGGACGGAGAGCTCACTTCCTTTAGGGGGCAGCCCAGGCTGTCTTCGTTCGGTTTGTTCAGGTGATCGTCGGAGTCCTTCCGTCCCTCCTTCAGCTCACGTGAGATCTTCCTGGAAGCTTCCAGCCACTTTGCCATTAAGCCAAATATCTATGGACTTTTGTGGCTGGAAGGCTCACTGTTAAGGCAACTGAGGGCCTGAACCTGATCCTCTCTGGAAAATGCCCAGAGAGGGCAATCTCCTGGGACCACAGCCCCGGCTTCACCGCAGCTTCAGGGCAGCCAGTCCTGCCCAGCGTCACGTTTTCCCAGCCCTGACCAGGGCACGGGCCTCGGCTGAGGCCTTTACCTGGTTTGCAGTGCCCTGTGTGCACAGCCCAGTACTGTGCCCATTGTTAGAAGCGAGGTAACCGAGAAGTAAGGTGACCTGTTCAGAGTTCTGTAACTCCGGGTGGCGGACCTGGAGCCCAGACCACGCCATCCTCTGAGCTCTGGGGAGAGGCAGGCCGATCCCGCCTGTGTGAGCACACGCAGGTCACATGGCAGGTTTGGCGCTGCGGTTCCCTCGTCTGCAGAATAAGCCCCAACACTTCGGGATGTGAGGGCATCAGCTAACCTGGGTCCTACTGTGGGCGCACGGCTTATCCTGCCTGAGCCAGCAGATGCACCCATCACATGGTTAACAATCCCGTCTAGAAACGGGGAGCATTTGGGCCACCCCTCCCCCAACCCGGCAGGGCAAGGGGCGTCCCAGTGGCCGACAGCGGCCGCTCACCGAGCTCCGGGTGCGTGCGTGCAGGAGCCAGGAGGGAGGCAGCATCACCCCCTCTGCCAGTCATCTGCCCAAGGCCACCTGCAGGTGAGTGGTGGCCCTGGGGCTCAGGGAGAGTCCGGGAGATGCTGGATGCTCCTGACGATGTCATGGCCCCTAAAGGTATTTCCCACAGTGTGGATGCTCAAGGAGGCTTCCAAACGTTCATGGGAAAATGGAGTGAATTTTGCGCGATCTCTTTGAAGCCCCCTGGTCTCTCACTTTGACAGGCAGGAGATAAACCGCGGATGTAAATGCAGCGGTGACGCCCCTGCTCCTCTCTTCCAGATCTCTGAGAAGTATGGGTTCCCCGAAGAGAACATTTACAAAGTCTACAAGAAATGCAAGCGGGGGTAAGTGCCCAGCTCAGCCCCCGCCCACTGGCTGCTCGGTGCTGAGGACGGTTCCACGTGGCCCTCTTAGGGAGGCTGGGGTGACGAGGCATCGGCGTGCAGAACCCCTAATCTGGCCAAGCCACTGGTCACCTCTCAGCCACAGGGGCCAGACAGGGACCACGGCTGGGAAGGGTGGGACCAGGAGAGAGGCAGCAGGGGTCGTGGGTCGCTCCAGAAGACCCAGCCCAAGCCCCAGGGCCACAGGACAGCCAAAGCATTTGATCATGATATCAGCAACTACAGTGGCTGCCATGCACCTGACACCCTACTGTGTGTCAGATACTAGGAGTATCCCAGCGAACCCTCGTGGCCACACTAAGAGGTCAACACCATTACCCGCTTTTATAGATGGGGAAACTGAGGCTCAGAGGTGAATGTTGTGGGGGTGGGGGTGGGGGCAGGAGCAGCAGAGAAAAGGCCTAGGATCAGAAAGGCCCAGAAAAGCTGATCACAGTCACGGCTGAGCCGGGGCCGGAAGGGCGTGGCTGCTGATGGGGCTGAAGGGCGGTGAGATTGGGAGCCCAGCGTTGCCGGAGGGGGGGGGGGCTGCCCCACGAGCTCCTCCTCCCTTCAGGCTGGACCAAGAAAAAGAGTAGAACTGTGTGCTCCAGGGGCGGCAGGACCTGGCTACCTCCCATGGGTGCCCTTTGCCGTCTGCCCAGGAGACCCCCTGGGCTGAGGGGGGCAGATCACATGTGACTGTCCTCCCAGGCCACGGTCCCCTGGCCAGTGCCAGTGAGCGGGGCCCCTGCAGCCCTCCTTGGCCAGGTCACTTCAGCAGGCTGGCATGAGGGCCCCAGGCAGAGAGGAGTTGTCACTGTCACTCCCTGCAGAGGATCCAGGACCACGGCCCTGGGGAAGACCCCCAGCCTCTCTGCCCACAGCAGAGAGGACGCTGGGGACAGTGTCACTCAACTGCTCTTGGAGCAGCCCCCCGAAGGTGCTTATGTGCATTGCCCTTGGCTGTCGTCTGTGGGTTTTGCTTTTTAGCAGACTTTGAAAAGGCAGGATTTGGCTCAGGGGCTCCCTCTCTGCTCTGCGGTTCCCATGCAGCCTGAAGGGGAAGGTGGGCGGCGGGAGGTGTCCCCGCTGTCTCTGGGAGGGGATCCAATTGGCGTGGGTTGGCTCAGTGGCTACGGTTTCTCTTATATGTTTTCCCCTCCAAGTTTCGGTTTCAGACTGGGTCCTGTCCACTCTCTGGAGCACAATCCACTTGGTGGCCCAGGGCAGGCTCGGCTCTGCCTGGACAAGCCCCGCTCCTCACCCCCGCTCCAGCCCCACGTGGGCCGGCTTCCCTGGGAAGGCTAGCGGATGGCAGGAGGGCAGCACAAGCCTTCGTGGGCTTGGGGGAAGGCACGCGGGTGCCTCCAGCCCCACTGGCGAGTCCCCAGCAGCTGTTTAAGTCGCTGCTCCCAGTGACAGCAGCAGCGTGAAGGCAGCACTCCCTGCCCTTGAGCTCCACAGGAGTCATGTACAAGGTCATGAGTTAGTAACCGGCAGAAGGAATCCCGGGGCCAGCCGAAGCCTGAGTGAGCACCACTTTACCTTGTTCCCTGCTTGGTCCTCGGACACAGCCCAGGGCGTCACTCAGCGGCCCTGCAGAGGCATTGCTGCCCGCCCCCCCAACACACACACCCCTCCCCGCCACGCAGATCTCAAGCTTAGGACCGACAGCAATGCCTGGATGAGAATATTTCCCCCAAAGCCTCTCAGGACGGGGAGGCCAGGTGCACCCTCTGCCTGCCTTGGGGTCCTCCTGTGGGAACGGGGAAATTCTGAGCAGTGGCCTGGTTTACTTTCCCAACCCCCTCCCCCCTCCGAAAGTGCTGTGGACAAAGTAGATAGAATCAGCTTTGCAAGCACCAGTGAGTGCTGCAAAGATTAACAAATACATTGTTTTCGCTGGCAGCGGGCCAGGGGTTTAAGGTGGCCCAGGGCAGAAGACAGCTGAGCTGGGAAGTGACAAGAGGCCCGCATGCAGTGGGTGACAGCGCTTCCTGGCAAGCCCCTGCCTCCCAGGGCCCAGCTGTCATTGACCTCCGAGGGGGTGGGGTGGGCGGGGCAGGCCCAGCTGGGGATCCTCTCTGCACAGGTGCAGCATGAGAGCCCGCTGGAGGCCCTAGCGGGCGTGGGAGGGAGCCGGCTCACAAGTCCCTGCACGCAGGGCGCTTCCATGCTGCCTGGCACCTCGGAGCTCCCAGGAAATGCCCCTGGAGGAAACGGGGAGTGAAACAACCCCGATGTTGCCAAGGTGCCCCCTCCCCCAAGCCTGGTCTGTTGCCGAACCCGGACAGAGCTCTCTGTGAAATGCAGCACCCCAGCAAAGGGGACCTTGCAATCACACACTGGCAGCCAGCACGCAGGCCCCAGGAGCCCCGGCCTGGAGCTTCCTCCTGAAAGCAGCAGCCACTTGGACAGACACAGGCCAGGGATTCGGGCTCGCGGCAGTCTCCACTGCCCCCAACCCCGTGGGGTGTCCCTGAAAGCAGACCTCTGCCTGCACCCTTGCCCACTCACAGCAGTCCCGCCCCTGCCCACACCCCTGCCCACTCACGACAGCCCACCCTTATCTCAGCTTCCCCTCCTCTGCACCACCACCACCCCCCCTCCCGCCTTCCCTCTGCCTCTCCCTGACCTGTGTTTATAAGGCTTTGTGTGCTGCTTCCTTCCAAAACAATCAATTTATCCGAAAGCGGCCAAGGACTGGGATCGAATCTCAGCTCTGCCATCTACTGTGACCTTGGGCAAACGACTCTGCCCCTCTGAATCTTGGCCTCCCCATCCATGGGCTGGAGCACAGTTCTGAGGCTTCAATGCCCACGTCCCTACGGACTCTAAGCTGGGGGGCGGGATCTCGTTCTCACTCCTGGCCGCACTGCCCTCGGTTCTGGAGCAAGGCCCTCCCTGCCCAGGGAAAGGCCTCAGCAGATGCCAGGGGAGTGAATGGGCGAAGGCCGGGTGGGCAGGTGGCTGGTCAGGGATGCATGAGGGGGTGGTGGATGGGGGTGGGCACACAGGCCCAACTCCAGGGCAGGAGCCAGAAGGCTGATGTGACCCACTCAGCTCCCATCTCGGCGGGTCCTTCCTCGGGGAGGCAGCTTCTAGAGAGGTGCCCTTTGACCGAGGCTGTGGCTTTGACACCTTGCAGGAGGTTGGGACTCTCCTCCGTTGGCCCAAGTCCTTGCCCAGAGAGTGGGAGGAGACAGGGATCCCAGCCCCTTGAGTCTGTCGTATGACCCCCGCCGTGAGATCTCAGCTTCCTGGAGATGGACTTGGGAGAGGGCTGGTGTGACACCTGCCTCTGGCTCAGAAAGACACACCCCAGTGACACATGGTAGCCTGCAGCTGAACCCAAACCACCACACCTCCTGGACTTGAGCTCTGTGTGTGACTCGTGTGCCCCGTGACTCCGGGAGCGCTGCATCTCTCCCGCCTCTGCCTGGTGCCTGGCTGTGCCCCAGCCGCTGTGACACCCAGGACCCTGTCGGGGCGCCTCTGGGTGCTGCCTGGCGGGGAGAGTTTGTGAGGTGCCCGTGGGGAAGCAGGCACCCCCTCGTCCTTGTCACGCAGAGGGTCTGTAAGCGGGGGAAGGGCACTGCCGTATTCCAACCACGTCTGCTCCTGTCTTCCAGAATCTTGGTCAACATGGACAACAACATCATCCAGCATTACAGCAACCACGTCGCCTTCCTCCTGGACATGGGGGAGCTGGACGGCAAGATCCAGATCATCCTCAAGGAGCTGTGAGGCCCGAGCTGCTGACCCCTTGGGCCCCGGGGTGCAGGCTCCCGGCCAGGAGCCTGCTGGGAAACCGCCCCTCGCCACACACAACCTCTGCACGTGCCTCAGTGCTGTTACTTGAATGCCCTCCCCGAGGGAAGAGGCCCTCGAGTCTCCAATCACAGATGTCAAGGCCAGGAAGGGACCTTGGCAGTGTTCCGGTCCGACCCCCCAGTGCGTGCTTGAATCCGCTCCCTGAACATCCTGCCTGCACCTGCCCACCTGAGGTGGGGCCATCTCGGTCAGCGCCCGCCCTGCAGACTCCTCCTCCCAAAATGCTTTGCTGCAGCAGTCCATGGGTGCCCACCCTCACCGCTACAGCGTAACGCCAGCTGGCTCCATTCGGGCACAGCCCCTACTCCGGATCTTCCTGTCAACTTCAGACCAAGGATGTCCCACCCTTGGGCCGGTTAACTTGAAAACTCTTGATTTTCAGTGCACATGACTTTAAAAGACACTCTGGAAACAGTCTCTTTCTTACTGACTTTCTCAATGCAAGATGTACATAATAGAGCTGATTGGAACCAAGGGACCACTGTGTAGATTTACTGCCCTCCCCACTCACTGTTGTACACATTTCTTATTTACAATTTTCATTTATGTTATATATATATAAATATATATTGTATATATACGTAACATTTTATATTTTTCATGGATACATTTTTATCATTTCAAAAAATGTGTATTACACATTTCTTGGACTATTTTTTTTAGCTGTTACTCATTATGTATTTTGTATACTCACATGGTATTTAGTAATAAAATCTACCTATGTATTACTACGAACGCTGCACTGGTTCCTTCTGGGAGTCGCCCAGGAAGCGAGAGCTAAGGCAGAGGAGGCCTCTCTCCTCTTCGTGGTCCACCTCAGACTTGAAGTGTAGCACTAAGTCTGGCACAGGTGAAACGGATGTGCGCAATCTGATGTCCAGGTCTTGGTCCTGTGGTCCCACAAGGCCGACTGTGATGACCCAGGGGTCATTGACTCTGGAAGCGAAGTGCTGGGGACAGCGCAGCATGGCCTTGACAGGGACCTAACAGCTGGGCCCAGGGGACTGCACCCCTGGCTGAGTCATGAGGCCTGAGTCTCCAGCTGACTCTGCTATACACTCTAGGCTAAGTCACTGTCCCTGGGGCTGGCTCACAAAGGCAACCGTGTACCTCTCTTCCCAGCTGTGTGGTCAGCGGCACCCTGAGGCCCACCACCACCACCACCACAGATACTGAGAAATGCTGCAGACCAAGGCCTGCCTTTACCCTGATAATAAATCACAAGTGAGGGGCTTTCCCCCCATCCACTCCTCCTCATCCCCTCCTCTCCCCCTCCCTGCTCACCAGCACGATGCTACCTCTAGTCCTGCGTTTCTGGCTATGACACACAGGACGAGGTCTGCACTGGCCTCTTCTGTCATATTCAGGGCCTCAGTGTTCGCTCCCTGGTGGGTCTCAAAGGCCCCGGTGATGGGGTGGTGCCGGGCAGCCCCACGTGCACCTGTCACTCACGCAGTGCAGCTCTTCTCCATGCGCACAGTGGGCTTCTTGGCAGACAGTTGTCGAAGACAACTTTGCAAAAAAGTGTGAAAGCCACGGATGACTTGTTCCTGAGCCCCCGCCTAGACTTGGGCAGGGGTGGGGGTCAGGCGCAAAAGTGAAGAGGTTCCCAAGGAGCTCAGCAATCAAGGGACTTGTTCAATGCAATGTGCTTTTCAAATTAAGGCACAAAGACACCCCCACAGTGAACAAAGTCTCTGTGTTTTCAGGTTCACTGATGTTTTGTCTTGCCTGGGGCTCCCAGTATGCCTTGCACAGCTGGAGGGACTCTGTGGAGCACCTGGGGTTGCTCTGCTCAGCCTGGCCTCCCCGCTGATGTGACATCACCCCAGATGCCAGGGCAAAGTGGGGGTCAAGGTTAAATGACTCAGGAGCACAGAAGAGCAGCACCACACCAGGCGTCTGCACCATGGTTCCTGCCCAGCTTCCCCCAGGGCCAGCCAGGAAGCCAGAGGTTGGTGCCTCTCCTCCTGGATAGCAGAGTGACCTCACTGGGGCAGCTTTCTTCCCAGCCCTGCTCCCCACTGCCCAGACCCCCACCCAGACTAAACCTGCACATGTGGGCGGGGCCCAGACATCAGTGCTTTTTAAAGTTCCCTGGGTGGGGGGCTGGCGCTGTGGCGCAGCAGGTAAAGTCGCCGCCTGCAGTGCCAGCATCCCATATGGGTGCCAGTTCAAGTCCCGGCGGCTCTCTGCCATGGCCTGGGAAAGCAGGCCCCTGCACCCACATGGTAGACCTGGAAGAAGCTCCCGGTTCCTGGCCTTGGATTGGCACCGCTCCAGCCATTGTGGCCATCTGGGGAGTGTACCAGTTGATGAAAGACCTCTCTCTCTCTCTCTCTCTCTCTCTCTCTGCCACTCCTCTCTCCATGTAACTGTGACTTTCAAGTAAAATAAATAAATCTTTAAAAAAAGAAAAAGTTCGCTAAGTGTTTGTGCAGTCACGGCTGAGAACCTCTGCTCTGTAGAGGCCGCGGTTATGCAGGCCGTGGAGCCCCAGGAGTGTCTCAGGGCCTGCTGGGCTGGATGCACAGTGCAGAACCCACCCAGAGCTCAGGACGGGGGTCCGTGGCTCCCCACCTCCACCCACCCGCACAGCCTCCAGCGCAGCCACCAGGGCACTGTGGAAAGAGACCGTCCGGCCTGCATAGGAAGGCCACCTGGACTCCACGAGAGCCCTGCAAACCCAGGAACCTCAGCCTTGCTCTTCCTTGGGGGAAGAGCTCCAAAGGCAGGCCCTTTCCAGACAGCTGGTCAACCTTCACAAGGCAGCTGCTGACAAGTCGTGGAGAGAGTGGCACCTGCCCGCGGGTAGTTTTTGACCAGTAACTTAGAGCTGGTGAGGACAGCGGGAGGGGCTCCCCACAAGGCAGGGAGGGAGGGAAAGAAAGCAAACAAGCCCAGGACCATGGGATGGCTTCCCACTGTGGTGCATCTGGATCCTGCTACTCAGCGTGTGGTCCCTGGGCCAGCAGCACCCACCGAGTCTGCAATGTCAGATCTCCCAGCCATTTTGCACACGGGTGAAAAATTGGAAAATGTTTGATCGACCAATAAGTGTCCTAACCCCAGAAAGATACATGATTATTACACTGAGAATTTTAACAAAGACACTGATACCCAGAGCCTGCCTTGGACCAATGAAATCAGAACTTTGAGGGCTGGGGCCTGGGCATGCTCCCGGCGATCCCAACGTCCAGGCGGCACTGAGAACTCCGGGGCTGGACGGGGCCGTGCGAAGCCTCCCATGTCTCAGGAGCAGCTGGGTAGGATCAGGTCTGACCACCAGAGCTTGAGGCCTCCAGCCCAGGTGCTGTGGCTACAGAATGGATTCTGACTGGCCAAGGGCAGCCCTACCTTTCTCCGGCCCCCCATCCTCCATCTCCTGACCCCTCCCACAGGAGGCTCCTGGAGAGACGTCTGCTGTGGGTGGAGCCGGCTGACGGCTGATGGCAGGGGGCCTGTCCCTAAGCATTTCCGTCAGCCTCTGCCCCAGGTGGTCCCAGAGTCCCTTGGGGCCTGCTAAGGTCACAAAGGGGAGCCAAGGTCAGAGGGGCCTAAAAACTGAGCCCTCGGGATCTCGACCCTTTGTCAAGAGTCTGGGGTCCAACAAAGATACAGCTTCAAGGTCAAGCTTGGACTGATCTTCCGGAATGGCCAGCCCCAAGGCAGACAATGGCTGTCCCACAGAAGCATCCTTGGGCCCAAGGGTGGGGAACATTGTTTTCTGGCCAGGGGCCACCCGGATATTCATAACATCACTGGGGCCACACAAAATGATCACCTTAACCATTAGCCTGCCACAGATGTCTTGATTTCCAGTCCTGCCTGCAGTTGCTTTGGCCTGGAGCAGGCCTCACTCGGGCGGCCTCTGGGCCAGACGCGCCCCATCTGCGCTTTAGGCCAACACAAATCCTCAGTGAAACACAGTCACCAACATCTCAAATCAAGACTTTCCAGACTCTACCCAAAAACCTGCAGGTGCGGCAAAAAGCTGGCTGGGGTGGTACCGATGCCCGTTTGTTCGACGGCAGCGGCCTCTGCGCCCCTGCATTGGCCCAGCTCCTCCCTTGGAGCAGACAGACGCGTGGTGTCCCTGCCTCACCTGCAGGGCTCCACAGCGCTCCCCCGACTCATTCCAAAGCCATGGGGCCCTTGCCCGAACCTCAAGTTCACAAAGAGGCCAGCTTTTGTGAAAAGCAAGAATTCCGTTTAATTGGATGTTATTCCATCCTTCTACCCCCTCTTCCTCACCCGCCTCCCCAGGGGGAGGGGCCGTCGGCAGCCAGTTCTGAAGGCCCAGGATACAGCATTCAGGGAGCACAGGAGAGGCAGGGGGTTGTGAGGGGCAGGGGAGAGGCAGGGAGGGTACACAGGAGGCTCCACCCACAGCGAGAGGCCACACCCACATCTGAGAAGCTGGTGACTCTGGTTGGTTCTGTTTTGTCTCCACTCTTTGGGGACCCCTTCCTTTGGCCCAGGGGGGATCTGCCTGGTCAGGGAGACCCTTTGCCCACGTGTCCGGCCGGTCAGTAAGTCCTCCTGTGAGGTTGGAGCAGGGATCAGGGAGGGGCGGAGGCCCAGGCAGGGGCAGCGTTGGGGACATGAGAGCCTGCAGGCATGGGGGTACAGCTGGCCTCCCTGCCCCTGGGAACCACCACGTCAGGGGCTCTGGCTCCAGCTGGGTCCTGTCTTCCCCTGCCGTCGAATGCAGAGCCAAGAAACAGCTGTGGCGGACTCTCCAGGAACAGGCAAAGAGTAAAAGTGACCGTGTGACCGCTTCTGTGTCTCACCTGCCGGTGAGGTCTGAAGGCCTAGGTGGGGGCCGGGTTCCCTGGCAACACCTCTGTGACTCTCACAGGGGCCTCTGGCCTTGCTGACTCCTAGAACTCAAAGGAGGGCCTGGAGGTCAAGGCCAGGAGGATGGGACCAAGCTGGGCCGCAGCCTGCGCTGTCCACTATGCTGGAACATTCTCTCCTCGGGGGCCCAGAGCCCGAGCACCAAGCTTGGAGGTGTGCGGTCTGCCCCTGGTGGGGGCTGGTTCTCCTCCTTGCAGTGTGCGTTCAGAAGGCCCTGAAGCCTGTGGAGGGGAAGTTGGGCCAGAAGCCAGCCTGGGCAGGTACAGGCTGGGGGAGCAGCAGGGGGCTCTGGCCATTCCTCATTTCTGCTCGGCAGTCACTGGAGTTGGGGTGCATGTGTGTGTGTGTGTGTGTGTGTGTGTGTATGTGTGATCCACGGGAGGCCACGCAAGACCAGGGTGAAGGCAGCAGCCCCGTTGTCACTCAGGTCTGGGGCAGCCCAGCGGCCACAAAGTCTCTCCAGATGAGTGCCCGGGGGAGCTGGGCGGCTGGGCTGTGGCCGGGGTCCTCCCTGGGCTTGTGGGCAGTGTCACTACAGGGCCGGGATCCACTTGTTGTCCTCGTTGTAGAGGAAGGACTGTTTTCCTGGGACTTCTGGCCTGTAGGTGGCTGTGAGGAGAGGGAGAGAGAGAGGCGGGGTCAGAGGGACAAGGCTGGTCTCCTGGGCGTCGACCTCTGTGTCTCCCACGCAGACAGAGGGAGGGGGCTCCAGCCCAAGGTGGCAGCCTGCTGACTGGCAGGGGGGCCCCTTCCTGACCTTTAACAGCAACAAGTGGAAAATCACTTTCTGTGACACGAGAAAAAACACTAAGAATCTCCTTAAAGAAGCAAGGTGTTGGCTTTGGACTTGGCTTGGAAATTTCCAGAAAACTGGAAAGCCGTGACAGCTGCAAACATGTTCCTCCAGGAGATGAGCAGCCAGAGCTTGGAACCACGGCCCAAGGTCACCAGAAACTCCCTCTCTCTCTCTCTTTCTCTCTCTCTGCCTGACACTGGCTTGGTTAGCGAGGGTCCAGCCTCTCTGTCAGTGCCCTTGGGAAGCTGCCCGGGAGCCCGAGCAGTCCAGGAGCCTCTGCAGCCGCCGGCGGTGATGCAGGCAGATGCTGCACATGCGTGTTTTGGGGGTCCCTCGGGAAGCCCCCGTCGCAGCAGGAATTGGCCTATCCTGTGTCAGGTGCCTCTTGCTCAGACAAAGCTCCTGGAGAACAGAGCCAACCAAGGTCAGACCCAGATCCCTGCTTGTCCCCAGGCCTCCTGGAGCTCGCCACTGGCAGGGAGCATCTGATGTTTGCAAGGCCACGTGGAATTCCCCTGGGCAGGGCACACCTCAGCAGTCTTGCAGGTCTGCTCACCCCTATATCTGCAAACCCAAAGCCGTGAGCGTCACCACTCTCCCACCTCACCTTCTTCCCTGCCAGGCTGGGGCTGGTGAAGTGGGAGCCCCAGGCCCCAGCCTGAGCCAGACGCAGCACACACGCCCTCCGTGCCCAAGGCCACCAGCTCTGGCCATGGCCGGGGAGTCGTAACAGCTGAGGGGCCCTGTTGGGAGCGACAAGGAGCACCTGAATGTAACAGGTGCCACCTAGGCTCATCTGTAAAAGGCAGAGGAAGGAGCCCAGATGGCCTAAAGGAGCTGCCTCGCTAGGCGGCCCCTGGTTTATTTCACAACAAGCAAGGCACCCAGGGGACACAGCCCTGGGCGCAGCACCCTGCCGCGAACGCACTGCAGGTCTGTGCCTTCCCTGGCTGGGAGGCAGCTTGGCCCGACTAGACTGCTAATCTACTAGGCTACTAGTGGTTTACGTATTTTGAAGGATAAGAACGTTTCTGACAATCTGACCTCTGTCCCCAGAAAGTAACGTCTGCCGCTCCACACCTGAGGGCAATTTCAGAGGTGTGGGTCCACCTCGGGCCGTCTCTGGCCCCTGGGACTTTCGTGGCCCTTGGTTCCAAGTCCCCCGTCTGGACCATCGCTAAGAGCCCTTTCACCTTAGAAAACAAAATGTCTTCCTCCTCTGCAAGCGTCAGCTGACAACTGCTCTACCTCTCCTCTCACCCCTGCAACCTCTTTGGCAAACAGCCTATAAAGCAGTGGTATTTGGTGGCCCAGGAATGACAAACAAGTCCGCAGGATTTGGTGTTTACAGGCAATGAGAATGAGCCTCTGACCTGGGCCGGGCAGGCCCGCCTGGGCCGGCGCCATTGTCCACCGGCTGGTGTTGGACACGAAGGACGCGCTGGAGATGAAATACTTGGGGGGCCCGGCGTAGTCCACGATCTCGTACTGACCAGGGCCCGGCAGAGGCGGCTTCGGGGGCAGCGGTTGAGGCGGAGCAGAGAAGTTCAGGATGGGGTTTCTCCTTCAGAAAAGACAAAGCAGAAAGATGTGACCGGAGCACTACCGGGGCGGTGCCAGCTTGTGGACAGAGCCACGGCCGCTGAGAGCCGGCCAAGCACCAACCGGCCTGCCAGAGGAGCCGGCCTCGCCCCAGGAGACCCAGGCAGCGCCCACACTCTCCTGGGCCTGACGGCCTCGCCGGCACAGCGACATTCTAAGAACCGCCTCGCAGGCTTATGGTCAGGGTTACGTAAGACGGCCACCTACAATGCGGGGCTCGGGCCCAGGCCTGGCACACAGAATTCAGGACGCATCGCTAGATGCTGGCAATGAGCTGATCAGGAACGGTAGGCAGCACTGATCTATGTGCTTATTCTGATCGATTGGCCATGACTGACTGCAGCTCTGCAAAAGAATGAAGGCTTGGGATGCCCGCATCCCATACCAACTGGAGCACAGAGGCTGTGCCAGCACTGACCATCCAGAACCCCTGGCAAGGCAGGCGGCGGAAGCCCGATCGCGTGAGCTGGAAGTCGCGAGAGCTCCATCTGTGCTCACTGTTCTCGATGTGACGTTGACAGCTCTGCCTTCCACCTCCTCAGGAAAGGGAGTCTCTCTTTTCCCTCCACTGTTGAGAGAGTGAATGACGGCTGCTGGCGCTGTGGCATAGCGGATAAAGCCACCGCCTGCAGTGCCAGCATCCCATATGGGTGCCGGTTCTAGTCCCAGCTGCTCCACTTCTGATCCAGCTCTTTGCTATGGCCTGGGAAGGCAGTAGAAGATGACCCAAGTCCTTGGGCCCCTGCACCCACGTGGGAGACCCGGAAGAAGCTCCTGGCTCCTGGCTTAGGATTGGCTCAGCTCCGGCTGTTGCAGCCATTTGGGGCGTGAACCAATGGATGGAAGACCTCTCTGTCTCTGTCTCTCTCCCTCTCTGCCTTTGTGTAACTGCTTTTCAAATAAAATAAATCTTCAAAGAGAGAGAGAGAGAATGAAAGCTAAGTAGAATCTACTCAAGTCCTAGCTCTGTCACTCATTCAATCATTCTGGGCCTCAGTTTCCCCATCTGTAAGCTGAGGGAGTTGGACAAGATGACCTCTGAGGTCCCTTCCGGCACGGCCTTGCCTCAGACTTGAGTGAAGCCTCCACTCGGTTCCCAGGGAACCCTGGGGTGGTGGGGCGGTGAGTGCCACACTCCCCACTGCGCCTGCTGCTGCCTCACCCGGAAGCGCCTTCGCTCCTTCACAGGTCTCTCCCCAAATGGCCGAGAAGGTCCCCAGTGCCCGGAGCCGGCCTGGCCAGGCAGAGCAGGGACTCGTGGCTCCCGACCAGCAGGACTTGCTGCCTGGGCCAACACCTTCTTAATCCCGAGAGCCAGATGGGACCCAGGAACGTCTTAGCCAGCCTCCTTATTTTGCTAAAGACAGAGAGGGAAAGTGTGGGGAGCAATCCGGACTAGACTAAGTTACTCGAATTAAGACTTATTCTATGCATCTGCTCTCCCACAATGTGGCGTTGGGAGAGAAGTAAACAGCTTCTACACAGGTGCCTCCAGTTCAGCCAATAAACTGTAGGACTTGTTCCTGATTGGAGAGCAGCGTACTCGGCGTGTGGGCAGCCGAGTTGGGATTGGCGGAGGAGGACTATAAAGGAGGAGAGAGACGGCATGCACCGGGAACATCTATGGGGAACATCTAAGGGAACCCGTGCAGCCCCTGAGAGAACCGGCCGGCGGTGTGCCGCTCCCCTGCGGAAGTGGGGAATGTGGCTAGGGGGAACTGCCCTTCCACGGAGGTGGAAGGGATAGTAGCCAACCCGGGAAGAACCAGCAGCAAACCCGGGGAGGGCCGAGCAGACGAAAGAACAGCGCAGGGTCCTGTGTTGCTCCTCCACGAAGAGGGGGAGCGACATAATGGTGCCGTGACTCGGATAGGAAACCTAGGACGGATAGCAAACTTAGGAGGGAAGAAACGGGAAGAACTGGGAAATTACCGGAGAGAGAGACTAGCAAACAGCCTAGGGAAAAGCCGGACGAAAAGGGTGCCGGAAGAAGCTATTGAAAGCCTAGGCATAGACTCAGATACGGACTACGGGGGGAAGCTGGGAGAAATCTCTAAGGTCGAAAGCGAAAAGTGAAAGCTAGAACAAACAGACTCAGACGCGGACTGTGGGGAGAGGCCAGGAGAAATGAGGGAGGAATATTGTTGGAGGAAAGCTGGGGGAAATATACCGGGTAGAGAAAAATGTTAGGGAAAATGAAGCCGCGAGTGCAGGCCGAGGCGGATACGAAAGCCACTTTGGGATTCTCAAGTTAGCCCGGGAATAGGGGGCGAAAAGTTGAAACCAGAAGCTGAAACGGAAGCCAGATCGTGGGGCGGAGACGTATGCTGGGTTGAATTCGCCAGGCTAGCCCGGGGAACTTAGATTGAATGCTAGTGGCGGACACGTAAGCTACGCTGTGTTACTCGCGGAAGCCGCCGCGTGCAGAGAGAGCACGGGGCGTGAATAGATAGGGAACGGGGCTGGCGCGAGGCCGTGGTGCAGACGCGAAGGCGTGGAGACCGCGGAGCGCGCGAAGCCAAGCCGCGCAAAGCCGGGAAGCTGCGCAGATGAAAGAGGCGCGGGCTGAATCGGCTCAGCCGGGAAGCTGCCGAGAAGCAGCCTCGGGGCGGGCGCAGCCGGGAAGCTGCAGGGATAAGAGAAATAGAAGTTTAGAAGCAAAGTGAGAGAAATAGGAATGCTGGAAGATAGAAGTAAAATGGGAGAGAAATAGGAATGCCCGGAGATAGAGAAATAGAGAAATAGAAAGGCCTCCCTACAACACTGCAATGTGAGAGCTTGGATTCGGTCTGCCTGATTAAGTGAGGCGATGAGCACGATGAGCACCTGGGCGGCTAGCAGCTTATGCGCCGCAGGTCACCGAAGACAGGCACGAATTAACATCAGTAAGGCTTCCCCACAATACAACAATGAGAAAGCTTGGATTCGGTCTGCCTAATTAAGGCGATAAGCGCCAGCAAGCAGCTCGACCAGAGTATGAGCTGCAGGTCACCAAAGATAGGCACAAACCAACACTAATAAGTCTCCCCCACAATACGGCAATGAGAAGGCTTGGATTCGGTTTGCCTGGTAGGTTTTGTAAGCACCTGCAGGCAGTTCTAGCAGAGTAGAGCATGCGCTGCAGGGCACCGAACACAGGCACGCATCAGCGCCTAAAAACCTCCTCACAACAGGGCGAAGAGAGGACCCGGATTCGGTTTGCCTGATTGATAGGACTTGTAAGAGCCTGTGGCAACTCTAGCAAGTAGAGCAGAGTGTGTGCCGCGGGACACCGAAGACAGGCGCGTATCAACGCTAAAAAATAAAAAGAAAGGGGGATCTGTGGGGAGCAATCCGGACTAGACTAAGTTACTCGAATTAAGACTTATTCTATGCATCTGCTCTCCCACAATGTGGCGTTGGGAGAGAAGTAAACAGCTTCTACACAGGTGCCTCCAGTTCAGCCAATAAACTGTAGGACTTGTTCCTGATTGGAGAGCAGCGTACTCGGCGTGTGGGCAGCCGAGTTGGGATTGGCGGAGGAGGACTATAAAGGAGGAAAGAGACGGCATGCACCGGGAACATCTATGGGGAACATCTAAGGGAACCCGTGCAGCCCCTGAGAGAACCGGCCGGCGGTGTGCCGCTCCCCTGCGGAAGTGGGGAATGTGGCTAGGGGGAACTGCCCTTCCACGGAGGTGGAAGGGATAGTAGCCAACCCGGGAAGAACCAGCAGCAAACCCGGGGAGGGCCGAGCAGACGAAAGAACAGCGCAGGGTCCTGTGTTGCTCCTCCACGAAGAGGGGGAGCGACAGAAAGTAACCCATCCGAAGTCACACAGCGAGCCAGTGGGAACACCAGCCCTGGAACTCAGGTCTCTGGGGCCCAGCAAGCTGCAGGAGGCATTGTGGTGGAGAGGACTGAGTTCAGAGTCACGCAGGCCTGGGCCTCGAGTCCCGCTGTGCCACTCGCTGGCCTCTCTGGGCCTCGGCACCAGCGCAGACAGCAGCCGTCAGAGCTGCCACTCTCCCTGCGCGAGTCGTGACGGGCAGCAAGAGGGGAGACGGACGCAGCCAGCATCCCCGACACTCAGCAGGTGCTCGGTCAAAGCCCTGAGCGCCACATGCTGCTGGGTGGCCCGGGAGCAGGGGGGACTTCAGGACCCCTCACGCCCGTCACGCTGAGGCAGCAAAGCTCCCCTGCTGGGGAAGCCTTGACAGTGCCTGGCCTGGCTGGCAGACGGCTGGCGTGGGTGCTTACAGATGGAACAAAGGCACCCACAGGAGAAGGGGCACGTGGCCTCCTTTCTACCCCTGCACTCGTCACGGAAGAACCGGCGGCCGCGTGTGACACAGCAGCTCCGCCTCGTAAACCGAAGCCGGCTTCTCCTCGTCCTGGCTTGTGGCTCCCCCTTCAAAGCAGCCCAGCCGTGTGATGGGGGCGTGCCTGCGCCTCACTGCCAGAGCCTTGCCTCCTGGAGCTGGACGGGCTGACCGCTGCACGAGGTCACCCCGGCAGCCTGGGTCCACCCCCCAAGCCCAGGAGTGCCTCTGGATTCTTTGAGACCAGGAGGTGTCTACAGTCCAAACCAGGGACAGCCTGGCAAGAAGGGGTCACGAGGGGCCTCCCCGTCCCTTGTGTGCCCACTCAGCACACTCAGCCCAACGCCCGATGTCTAGTGGGCGACAGCCCCGCGGGGCCCTCTGGGACATCTGGACTCTTCAGTGCTGGGACACAGAGCTTCAGGTCCCCGAGGACTTGGCAGGTCACTGCTGGTGACTGTGTAAGGCAGCACGGCCTGGGCACGCGGACGGAGCTGGGCTCCAGGCCCCACTGCTCCTGTCACCAGCCGTGTGTCCTCAGAAAAGACTCTTAACCTTTCCGAGCCTCAGTTTCCTCAACTGTAAAATGGTAGAAAGTAATTCCTTTTACCCAGTACTGCTAGAGTGATTACCTGGAACTATATTTGTGTTATTTGTTTAACATGAAATCTGTTGGAGTTTAAAACTTTAAAGAGAGGGGCCGGTGCTGTGGCGCAGTGGGTTAACTCCATGGCCTGAAGCGCCGGCATCCCATATGGGCGCCGGTTTGAGACCTGGCCGCTCTACTTCCAATCCAGCTCTCGGCTATGGCCTGGGAAAGCAGTAGAAGATGGTTCAAATCCTTGGGCCCTTGTACCCACCTGGGAGACCCAGAAGAAGCTCCTGGCTCCTGGCTTTGGATCGGTGCAGCTCCGGCTGTTGCTGCCAACTGGGGAGTGAACCACTGGATGGAAGACCTCTCTCTCTCTCTCTCTCTCTCTCTGCCTCTCCTCTCTCTGTGTAACTCTGACTTTCAAATAATAAATAAATAAATCTTTAAAAAAAAACTTTAAAGAGAGAGAGTGACTGATTTCAATCTAGTGAACCCAGAAGTGCATCCTGGAAGAGGTGACATTTGCACAGAAAGGCAAGCAGGAAATCTTCAGGCAGAAAAGGTGGGACAGGGGCAGCATCGTGGCTCAACGGGTTAAGCTGCCACCTGCAAGGCAGGCTTCCCATGTGAGGGCCAGTTCAGGTCCCGGCTGCTCTACTTCCAATCCAGCTCCCCACTCGTGTGTGGGAAAGCAGCAGAAGATGGCCCGAGTGCTTGGGCCCCTGCCACCCACAAGGCAGACCTTGAAGTTCCTGCTCCTGGCTTTGGCCTGGCCCAGCCCTGGCTGTTGCAGCCATTTAGGAAGTGAAGCAGCAGATGGAAGACCTCTCTCTCTCTCTACCTGTCTTTCCCTCCCTCTCTCTCTCTCTTTGTAACTCTGTCTTTCAAATAAATTAAAACAAAACAACAACAACAACAACAAACAGCGGGACAAAGGAGGGGCGTTCCCAGCAAACCCGAAGCATGGCGGGGTGGGGGTGGGGGGCCTGTGACCCTCTCCTCATGCACCCTGGTGAGAAACAAAAGGAAAAGCTCTGTTTGTGGCCACACAAGGCAGCCTCTGCAACCCTGCGCCCACCGTGCCCGCCAGAAGCACCCACCCCACGCTGTGCTGAAGAGCCAGGCCTTTGTCTGTGTCCTTCCTTCCAGCAGGGACACCAGGAAACCGTTCTCCGGAAACCTCCCCACCCCAACCCCCCACCACCCCGACTTCCCGTGGCTCGGTGCAGGAGGGCGCAGGCGGTAGGGAGGCAGACATAAAAACTGCACTCAGCGCCGTGCCCCTGGCCCTCAGCACACCCCAGTCACTCGGAGCAGACTGTGTCTTGTTCAACCTGGAGGCCCCAGCCCTGTCCCAAGAGACATTGGCTGCACTGCGGAGCCAGGCAGAGTGGGGAAGCACAGGCATCTGAACCTCTGAACCCCACCTGAAAGTCCCCCCCCCGGCACTCCACGCCCCATCCAGGGCTGGTGCCTGAACCCCACGTGGCAGTATCCCCCCGCCACCGCCACCCCACACCCCATCCAGGGCTGGTATCTGAACCCCACCTGGAAGTCCCCCTCCCTGCCGCCACCGCCCCCACGCCCCATCCAGGGCTGGTGCCTCCATGTCCAGGTGGGGCTGGGAGCAAATGACTGTGGTCAGGCCAGATGCATCAGGGAGGCCACAGCGCCTTGTGACCAGGGCTTTTACGAGGCTCCTTGCTGAGTTATAAAAGCCAACCTGGTCCATCTGTCAAAGGCTCTGAGTCCTCCTGCCAAACATAGATTAAGTGTGTTTGCTGCTTCCAATGTGAGCTGCTTGCAAATGGCCCGGGAATAATGAGTGTCTTGAGGGGCTCAGCAGGTGGCTTGGGGAAGGCATCCGGGACCCTCGGGACACTCCCGGGCACACTCAGCTGCCTCGGGGATTCCCAGGGCCAGGAGGGAGAAAGGGGCGGCCGCTGGCCTTGCGGTGGAATGCAGTGTCCTGCAGTGTCCGCTTAGCAGGGCAGCAGGTGACAGGCTACAGCCGCTTGGCAAGAAACATCCCATAGCTAATTGAGAATCCCCAGGAACCTTAGGTGGGTCCCACATAATTACCCAAATTGGGGTGGGGCCCATGGGCTGGATCCACAGGCTCTGGCTGTGACAGCCAGCGTGTCTCTGCAAACCTCATGGCTTAAAACCTCCAAGACGTAGATGAAGGGTTAGACACGTCTCGGGGTGCTCCACCCCCCTGCTGGTGGCCGGGAATAGGGAGGCAGCACCTGGGAGGAGCTGTTTTGATCTGCAACTCTTGCCCTGACTCACCCGGGCACTGAGTCACCATGGCGACGGGCACTGAAGACCTGAGGGACATAACCTGGGCTGACACTTCCCTCCCCTTTGCTTCGCTTCTGCGGGCTCCTGGCCAGCTGAGAAGTCCTCTTGGCTTCTGAGTCAGCAAAAGGGCCACAGCACAGGAACAGCCGTGACACGGCCTGCAGCTGGGGAGCTCGGAAAGGCTGGGCTCACGCCCGCCCAGCCCAGGCCCCGCACCCACCCTGCGGGGGTGCAGGGGCCCAGCTCCGGGCTCTGATGGAGCACAGCTCGCCGGCTAACTCTGAGGCGCCTCTGTTCTCCTTGCTGCCGTGTAGGAGGGGTTCTGGTCCCAGGTCACTGAGGAAGGAGCCGAGTGACCACCCTGCACCAGGCTCGGAGGGCCAGCCGAGGGGAGGGCAGGGCTCCCGGGGTCCTGACTTCCGAGCACTGTGGCATAGCGGATTAAGCCATTTGGGTGCCGGTTCGAATCCTAGCTGTGCTACTTCCAATCCAGCCCCCTGCTAATGTGCCTGGGAAAGCAGCAGAAGATGATCCAAGTCCCTGGGCCCCTGCACCCGCTTGGGAGACCTGGAAGAAGCTCCTGGCATCGGCCTGGCTCAGCCTTGGCCGTTACAGCCTTTTAGGGGGTAAACCAGCAGATGGAAGATCTCTCTCTGTGTCTCTCCTTCTCTCTCTCTGTAACTCAGCCTTTCAAATAAATAAATAAATGTTTAAAAAATGGTAGCACAGGCCCCTGTCTCCACTTTTATTCGTATTTATTTATTTGAAAGGTAGAGATACAGAGAGAGAAGGAAGAGAGAGAGAGAGAGAATGAGGGAGGAGAGGGAGAGAGGGAGAGAGAGAAAAGGAGAGAGGGAGAAAGAGAGAGAGAGCAAGCTTCCATCCACTGGTTCACTCCCTGAATGGCCACAATGCCCAGGGCTGGGCCAGGCCAAAGCCAGGAGCCAAGAGCTTGTTCTGGGTCTCCCACGTGGGTGCAGGGGCCACAGTACCTAGACCATCTTCTGCTTTTCCAGGCACATTAGCAGGGATCTGGATGGAGCAGCCAGGATCCCAACTGGCTCCCATATGGGATACTGGCACTGCAAGTAGAGGCTTAACCTTCTACTCCACAGCATCAGCCCCCATTTCCCCTCTTAAAGCAGGTGTTGGGGTGGATATTTCAGCTAACAGTTAAGCCTGGGTTAAGATGCCCACAGCTCCTATCTGAGTGCCTGGGTTGGAGTCCTGGCTCTGCCCCCAATTCCAGATTCCCGCTACAGTGCACTCTGGGAAGCAGCAGGTGAGGGCTCAGGTACCTGGGTCCCTGCCACCCACAGGGGAGACCTGGATGGGGTTCCTATCTCCTGGCTTCACCTCCCCACTCTGACAATTGTAGGTATTAGGTGAACTAGCAGATGGGAACGCTTGTACTCTCTCTTGTCTCTGTCTCTCTCTCTGTCTCTCTCTCTCTGTCTCTCTCTCTCTCTCTGTGTCTCTGTCTTGAATAAATTTTTAAACACTCATAAAACTTGTGTTAATTTACATCACCATTTGCACTGAATAAAAATAGCAAAAACATGTGCCCGACATATATTTCTAATTCTGAAAGCAATACTCTGAGGCAGGAATTATCTCCATTAACGTGACGGATGAAAGCAGAGAGGTTAGTACCCTGCCCATGGCTACACAGTAGGAAAACAGCAGAGCCGAGGTTCAAATCCAACAGGTCTGACCAACTCCAAAGTCAAGACCTGACCCTCCATCAGCACAAAACTAGAGAGTCTCACTGCTTCTCAGTGTCCTGCTGCCCCAGTGGAGACTTTGTGTTGCAGGAACTGAACGGTGTCAGCACCGGGACAGGACAACATCACGAGGAAACGTGGACGGAGGCACTGTCCTGAGCCTGAGCCCTGTAGCCCTCGGTGAGCTGCAGACTCATGCAAGTCTCTCAACCTTGTTCAAGCTGGCTCCCTCCCTTACGAAGTAAAAACAGTAACTCCCACAACGGAGTTATCACAATAATTGAATATGATTTTGAGTCCCTGGCACATAGCTGCTGCTTAACAAATACCGAGCATTCCAATTCAACAAACATTTGCTGAGAACTCCTATGCATCCACAAAGGCCCCCGCCAGGCAGGAATGCCCTTTCTTTTCCGCCCACGTCAGGTCCTCCCCCCAGAACCACCTTGCGAAAGACAGAGCATCGGGACTCACGGGAAAAGACTCTTCTTTGGAACTTTGGTGTGAGCGTTGGGGTTGTAATAACCGGGGCCTGGGCCTGTCGATGCCAGTTTCAGTCCACGGTCAGTTTTCGACTTAAAACAAGACATCAGTATCTTTGGCGACTGCTTCACAAGGGATTCGTTGACATTATAATGCCCTAAGCAGAGAGGAAATTTAAAAACAGGGTAAGGAACTCTTCTCAAATAAATAAAAAGCAGCACCTCACACCTAGGAAAATGTTTAACGGCCGTGAGGCAATGTCACTCCAGATGGCCAAGAGGAACGGTGCCTGGGATAGCTACAAACGGCGCTTAGCAGGTGGACAACAACACCGCCCACGGTTAGAGAACTCGCGCCTCGTGCATCCCACGCATCTCGGGCTTAGCTCTGCAGGCCCCACAGCAGCCTAGCGCGGCGGGTCTCCTCCCTGCTACTGTGAACACAAGGAGACGGAGGCTCCGAGGGGCCAACGTTGGCAGAGGGCGTTCTTCTAACAGGGGCTCCCGAACCTCATGCCAGGGTTGCTGTGCTAGCTGAAGGACGGTCCTGGCACATAGCGGGCGCTCTGTGAAAGTGTTGCCAGCAACAGGTATTGATGGCGCGCTGACTCAATCGGGTAAGTGCAGACTGACCTGTCTCCTAAGCCCGTGTCTTCTCAGCATGCCACACGCTGCCTCATCCCAAGAAACTGGGACCACATGAAATCAGCACACAGACTGAGCTTCCAGCAAGAGGAGATTGGCCCGCGCCCCGGGGAGGAGGAGGCGGCCGTACCCCCTCAGCTGTCACAGCTCTGTGGGGTGCACAGCAGTGCTGGGGGAGGCCGGGATGAGATCGGCACACTCGGACGTCCCACTGTGCAGAAACTAAGGAAATTCGCCAACAGAATGGAGACATCCTGAGCACGAGGGTGCACAAGGCAGTAGCCACAGTGTGAGCAGCTGAAGAGACCAAGCACAGGGAAAAGTTACGGGAGCAGCAGCGCAAGGGATGGACTGCTGCCCAGGCTACAACAAGCGAGACTGACCATGAAGCCGCACAGGTACGGTTTTGAAAACGGACACGAGTGAGAAAAGCTTAAGCCTATGGAAAGTCTGATGATCTAAAAACAGGGGTGGGCGGCTTTTTCCTGCCGAGGGCCATTTTGTAGATGTACGGCATCATTCGTGGGCTACACAACAGGATCAACTTAAAATCAGCCTGCTGCAGGGGAACCGAACCCCAGTCCACCTGCGGCTGCCTTGGAGGGGCCAGACCAGATGGTTTCGCAGGCCTTAAACGGCCCACGGGGCCGACGTTCCCCACCCCGGGTCTAAAATGTCTGGAAGTATATTTTAAAGTCTTCCTGTTCCATGATGCCCTCTGCGAATAAATGGGCATATCTGAATTAAAATCAGCAGGATCAGAAGAATGGAAACAGTTCTGTTAGTGGTGGCATGGGGGAAGGAAAACATTTTTTTTCTCATTCCAAATTAATATATTTCAAAATCAAAAGAAAAAGATCAGTTCTATACCAAGATACAGGTGTTACTCAATACCTGAAGGGTTCACATTTTCGTTTGAATCATTTTAACCATCTTGCAGCTCTTTACCATTGCAAAAGTACTGCAAGCAACAGCAGAGAGACACGAGCAAGCCTTTAGGGAAGTGACAACCGCCAATGATGGCCAAGGAGAGAGGACGCAGGCCCGGGCAGCAGTGAGAGGGAAACCATCTTTGAGTGCTGTAGGGCAATTGGGTCGCAACCACCACAAGCTTTAAATATTTCACACAGCTTTTGACTTAGCAGTTCCACTTGCAGCAATTTCCATTAGGAAGTACATAAATTAGAAGTTCCAAAGGTGTTCACTGCCATTGCACTCGTATCAGGAACCAATCTGAACAAATCTCCAAGAGGAAAGCCCTCATTCTACAACTGACAGGACCGCCACAGCGTGTCGAACACACAGCGGCCAACGCCGACGTCCTGGGGGGTTGCAGTCGCGTGAAAGATGCGCTCACTATGCGCCTAAATTCGAGAAGAGTGGACACCAGTATTCACCCTAATGGTTAACACATCAAAAGGCTCATGGGAAAACAGGATGAAAAGACAGGTTTGTCTTGGTGCAAAGGTTTGGAAATCCATGCATAATTTCTCATAATATGGATTTTCCGTGAATTTTTGAAGTGCCCTCAAATTTGTTTCTTGCCTTCATGTAATTCTTCTCCTCGCAAAATAAATGGCCAAAACAACATTTCAATGGCAGAGTGTGTAACGTAAGTAAAAGCAATCCAGGCATTCCGCTCTCACCAAGCAGAGGGGGCCAGCTGCCGGAAAGTGGGGGGCCTAGGGGGTGGTTTGAAGGTAGCAGGCGTGGAGTGGATGGACCTGGATTCAAACCCAGCTGCGGGGCCCTGGCCTGGTTGCCTGCTTTCAAAGTGGGGATAAAATAATAATAATAGCAACAGCCACAGCTGGCACCTTCTGAGCGCCCAGTCGCTGAGCGCATGCTCAGTGAGGTAGGGAATGGAAAGCCTGCTGCCCACCCCCACCCCCCGCACCCGGGAGGGCTGCAGGAGGCCAGCTGCTGGGGTACCCGGTGTCCCTGTGTCCCCAGCTCACTGGCAGAGCCTCTGGCCAAACCCCAGGATGCCGGCTTTGTTCTTCTGAATAAACAAACAAGGCGGGGCTTGGCGGGAATGAGGCCAGGCAGGCAGGGGAGCTTCAAGGGGCCCTGAGCCTCCTAATTAGCGCTGGGTTTATTGTTCAGCTTCACACTGATCTCAACCTTAATCTGGATTTGCTGAAGTCTGACAGGTGCTGTGATTTTACCCACACCCCCCTGCGAGAGGTGTGACTGTATTAGAAGCCCACCCTGCCCCTGGACCCGATTAGGACCTGGGACAGGGGTCTGAGAACACAGGAGAGGCCGCCACCTTTCCCTGAGCACGGCCAGGCCAGCTCCTTTCCCGGCTCCTGAGGCTGCAGAAGGCCCCGGGGACTGTGGGGAAGCCGCCCCGGCTCAGGGGTGCCACTCACTGGCCACAGGGCGTGGGAAGTCAGTGCACCTCTTTGAGCCTCCGCTCCCTCTTGGTCTGACAGATGCGGTGTGTGGACTGCAGGGGACCCTGGGCACGGGGTGGGTGGTCTGCCATGGAGCTGTCGCCCATCGCTTGGGGATTTCGTGTCAGGATTGAGTGCAGGCACCTGAATGTGCACACTTCTGGGGCGCGAGCCACCTCCCCACCGGGCTGCCCAGAGCAGGAGCCGCAGAGCCCCTGTTCCCACCCAAGGCCCATCTCCTTCCTAAGAGATTCCCCACGAAGCAGCAGGGCCCCCCCCCAATCAGATCTGGAGCCTCAGCCCTCAGGTCAAGGCCAGTGCCAGGCAGCTGCTTACCTGGCGGAGGTCCCGTCTCAGGAACAGTGAAAACGCCTCTCTTGGTTTTTGAGATGAACCCGGCTCGGGCAGAGACATTGTTTTTCTGCTTGCAGCAGGACAGAGAGGCCTGGGGGCAGAAAACACAGCCCCACATCAATGTCTTCCCTTCCTTTCTCTTTGTCACCCTGCCTGGACAAGCAGCAAATCTGGATAAAAATATCAGTGCTAGCCTGTCCTTGGGAAATGGACTGACGTGAGCTGAGAAGGTCACAGAGACAGGGCCTCTGGCGTCCCCTGGCCCCAGCGCTCTGGGGCTGTGATCCCCAGCAGAGGTCTGGCCACCCAACACGGCCCAGAGCCCAGCTCCCTGCTGCCCCGGCCAGGCCCTGCGAGCCTGCTCAGGTCATTGCAGCTCTCTGAGCGTGAGTTTTCTCATCTATAAAACGGATCAGATAACCCCTGTCTATTTGCTGCTGAGTTTTGTCAGGCATGGGGCCAGTCGATAGAACCATGTAGCAGAAGATGTGTTGATAGAAGTGTGTGTGATTGGCGCCAGCATCCACATTGGTGCTCCCATTCGAGTCCCCACTGCTCCGCTTCCGATCCAGCTCCCTGCTAATGCGCCTGGGAAGGCGCAAGTGCTTGTGTCCCACATGGGAGAACAAGATGGAGTTCCTGGCTCCTGGCTTTGGCCTGGCACAGCTGGGGCTGTTGTAGCTAGCCATCTGGGGCGTGAGCCAGTGAATGGAAGATCGATTCTCTCTCTGTGTCTTTCCAATAAATAAATATTAATTTTTTAAAAAAGTATGTGCAATACTACACATGCAAGTAATTTTCATTCTTTTTCTACTCTTTTAATGTTTTTTAAAAATATTTATTTATTTGAGAGGTAGAGTTAAAGACAGAGAGAGGAAGAGACAGAGGAAGGTTTTCTATCCACTGGTTCACTTGCAAGGCGAGAGCTGGGGCAATCCGAAGCCAGGAGCCTGGAGCTTCTTCCAGGTCTCCCACACTGGTGCAGAAGTGTAAGCCCTTGGGCCATCCTCCACTGCTTTCTCAGGCCATAGCAGAGAGCGGGATCGCAAGAGGAGCAGCTGGGACTAGAACTGGTGCCCATATGGGATGCCAGTGCTGCAGGCGGAGGCTTAACCCACTACACCACAGCGCCGGCCCCCTTTTTATTCTTTTAAGCACACTTAGTCCTCACTGTCCCTCACCCCTCCTAGGTGGGTTCCTCACTGTCCGGTCCTTCTCTAAATTCAGCACCCGTGGCACATGAGGGAACCACACGATTTAAGTTCGTGATTGGACGCGCAGGCACTCCCTTGCCTCACCTTTTCTGGATGGAGCAGAAATCAAGAGCTGTGGCCTCTCCATTCAATGGACATTTGAGTGCCCAATGTGTTCAGAAGTCTGAAAAGAAGGGGGGGGGGGGCGCTAAACAAACTCTTGAGATCATTCTTCTGTTACGCATGAATCATAAATACTTTAAATGCCAATTTGCAGTCAGCCGTCTGTATTCATGAGATAACAGGTGCAGTAAAAACCCAGCCTGCCAGCTGGGAACATTTACTGAAGCAGCGAAACTACTTGCTGGGGCCAGGAGGGGCTGATTTTTGGTGATACTCTTGTGTCCCAAAAGAAAAAAAAATGCAGATGGTATTTTGATTTCCTGTTGACAAAGGTGGAGGAATTTAGCTTTTCTAATGGCCAGACTGCATGCAGAGAGGGCAAACAAAGCACCAGATGGGACGGGCTAATTACTGGACACAGGGCAAGGAGCCAGGATACTGGAGTGCAGGTAACAGCACAGCACCCCGGGGAAATGACTGCAGCCGAGGGGAGGGGACCTCGGAGGCAGAGAGGGGCTTGGCAAGCCTCAGAGCACAGCGTGGCTAACAGGATTAGCGTATTTCTTCTCCTCGCCAATTGACTCAGCCATTGTCTGCTGCTCTGAGAAAAAAAAAAAGCCTCCTGTGGACAAAACAGTGCTTCAGCCTTTACTCTTCACCCCGTCAAAGAAGCAGCTGGGGGGGGGTGTCTTTGTATACACAGAGTGTCACTGCAAGATGGCCCCAGAAGACTAAGAACGCGGCTCACTAGGCTAATCCTCCGCCTGCGGCACTGGCATCCCGGGTTCTAGTCCCGGTCGGGGCACCGGATTCTGTCCCGGTTGCCCCTCTTCCAGGCCAGCTCTCTGCTGTGGCCCTGGGAAGGCAATGGAGGATGTCCCAAGTGCTTGGGCCCTGCACCCGCATGGGAGACCAGGAGGAAGCATCTGGCTCCTGGCTCCTGGCTTCGGATCGGCGCAGTGCGCCGGCTATAGCAGCCATTTGGGGGGTGAACCAACGGAAGGAAGACCTTTCTCTCTCTCTCTCTCTCTCTAACTCTGCCTGTCCAAAAAAAAAAAAAAAAGAAAGAAATTATTCGACAGGTTATGTGAGAAGAACACAAGGATGGAGCAGGTGGATTGTGGCCCCACGGAGGGAAGGCTAAAAGAAAAACACAAGGATGGAGCAGGTGGATTGTGGCCCCACGGAGGGAAGGCTAAAAGAAAAACACAAGGATGGAGCAGGTGGATTGTGGCCCCACGGAGGGAAGGCTAAAAGAAGAACACAGGATGGAGCAGGTGGATTGTGGCCCCACGGAGGGAAGGCTAAGAGAAAAACACAAGGATGGAGCAGGTGGATTGTGGCCCCACGGAGGGAAGGCTGAGGAGCGGAGAAGCAGCAAAGCAGCACCCTGTGCAGAGCTGTGCCTAGCTCTGGGGGTCAGGGGGAGCGTCACCGGTGGTTTCTTTGGGGAGTAGGTCGCAAGGGGCTTCCACCTCTGGCTCACAGGTTTCCCTCCCGCTCAAGTGCATTTTAAGAAGAGCAGGGATTACGTCTCAGAATCACATTTAAACAATCATGAGCCAAAAATGTGCCTCTTCCCCCATGGGCTTCTCAGCATACAGAGAAGCCAATGTGAGCTCCCTTCCAGGGTCTCCAGGGCCCTGCATGAACCGGCAGCTTCCTGTCTCTGCCCCTCCTTCTCCCTCTTCCTCTCTCATGCTACACCAGCCGCTGGCCTTGTGCTTCTCACGGGCTACGCTCTTTGCTGCCCCAGGACTTTGCACATGCTGTTCCACACCCCCCCCCATCCTTGTGTCAGTCTTGGAGCCTTCTCTCATCACCTAGTGTGTGGTGCTGCCAGTCCCGGATCCCTCTCGTATTCTCTCTCAGGCTCCTGTTGGTCGCCCTGGAAGCTGACCACAGATTGTCATAATGCTGTCTGTTGACTATTCCTCAGCCGCGTTCCCAACAGGACTCTCAGCTGTATCAGCGGCCTGGCCCAGTGGGGCAACAGGGCCAGAGCACAGCGACTCTCGGCACCCCCAGCTCCCTCCTCAGCCTCCACGTGAAAGATGGCTGAGCTGGGGAACTGTGGACCTCAGCTTCCTCTTCTGCAAACTGGGGACAGCGTTATCGGCTTCAGGGATTCCTGCGAGCATTGAATGTGCTGGATGCATAAGCTTAGACCAGCACTGGCTCCATGAAAAGTGCTCTCCACCCCCTCCTACCCCTTTTCAGGCTCTGATGATCCCAGCAGAGACGGGTCTAGAGCTGTGCCGCCCATTACAGCAGCCCACATGTGGCCACCAACCCTGGAAACGTGGGTGTCTAAAGTAAAATGCACTAAAAGTCTAAAGTCTACATCAAATCTCAAAAACAGTGCAGGGAAAAGAAGCTTCTTAAAATATCTGATTAATGATTTTTAGATTGATTTGTTATTGAAATGGCAATATTTTAAATACTTGGATTCAATAAACTAGTATTAAAATTAATTTCATCTGTTCCTTTTTATCCTTTTTACTTTTTAAAGGCAGCTACTAGAAAATTTTCAATGACATATATGGCTCCCGTATTGGACACTGTTGGTCTGGCAGGCTCATATTGCTTTGAACTCATTATAATTTATGACATCAATCATGGACGGTGGACAGGGTCTCCAGAGTTATAAAAGTAAATGTGACTTATAACTGTTAAACGGAACAAGGGGCGGTGGGCATTTGGTGCAGAGGTTAGATGCCACGTGGGATGCATACATCCCGTTGTCTGAGGCCGGGGTTTGAGTCGCAGCCGCACTCACAGGTCCAGCTTCCTGCTCACATGCACTCGGGGAGGCAGCAGGTGGTGCCTGCCTCCCATGTGGGAGACCCGGATGGAGTTCCAAGTTCCTGGCTTTGACCTGGCCCAGTCCTGGCATTTGGGGAGTTGTGGGGAGCAACTCAGACTAGACTAAGTTACTGGAATTAAGACTTATTCTATGCATCTGCTCTCCCACAATATGGCGCTGAGAAGGGAGAAACAGCTTCTACACAGCTGCCTCCAGTTCAACCAATAAACTGTAGGACCTGCTCCTGATTGGAGGAGAGCAGCGTACTCGGCGTGTGGGCAGCCGAGTTGGGATTGGCGGAGGAGGACTATAAAGGAGGAGAGAGACAACATGCACCAGGAACATCTAAGGGGAACATCTATCTGAAGGAACACCTGTGCAGCCCCCGAGAGAGCCGGCCGGCGGTGTGCCGCTCCCCTGCGGAAGTGGGGAATGTGGCAGGGGGAACCGCCCTTCCACGGAGGTGGAAGGGACAGTAGCCAACCCGGGAAGAACCAGCAGCAAACCCGGGGAGGGCCGAGCAGACAAAAGAACAGCGCAGGGTCCTGTGTCGTTCCTCCACGAAGAGGGGGAGCGACAGGGAGTAAACCAGTATATGGGAGATCTCTGTGTGTCTCTGTGTCTTTCAAATAAATTTAAAACAGGAAATTGAAAATGAAGTATCCTAAGAACAGAGCCGTTTGAAATATGGCTTATTATACCAATGTCATATGTACGATTCGATTCTTAGCTCACATGTTTCAGAGTGCTTCCACACCTGTATCTAAGAGCAAACCCGGAGGGCGGAGGTGATTTGCTGCATTTCACAGTTGCGGCCCCAGAGGTAGTGTGACTGCCCAAAGACAGTCTGACCAAGAGCCAGGAGCTGTGTTGTCCCTGTGTGCCAGTGCTGTGCAAGCACTCAGCATGGATCCCATTGACTATTTGTTCTCACGGTAGGAGGCAGGCATTTATGCCCGCTTCACAGATCAGTAAACTGAGTCTTTAAAAGGGCAACAGACGTGCCCAAGACCATATAGCAATGAATCCACAGACTCAAGATTGGGACCAAACCATCCTAACTCCACCTCCTCACCATCCACACCGTTCTGCCTCAGTGATTACGACACAGTCCCAACTGGCAGAGGGTCACTGTTAAACAGCAATTTTCTGATACGGAAAGACAGAAGCTTATTCTCCCCTGGAATAACCTGAAATAAGTGAACGGTGTCTGCAGATGAAGTGATAAATAGCATGCCCATTGTTACAGATCGGAAAACTCTGTCCCAGAAAGGCTACGGGACGGGAGTGACTGGGTTGAGCGTCCTTCAGAGCTGGTCTGCCCGCGGCTCCCCCCGCTTCTGTCTGGGCTCTGCAAGTCCCCTGAGAGTGCTGCAGGGCTGGAAGCCCCCACCAGGAAGTCAGCAGACGGCAGCTGGCTCTGCAACTGCCCTGAGACGCTGTCCCCCACACTCCCTTATCCCTCTACCCCGTTCCTCTTATCGCAGCAAACCGTGCAGTGTTCATCTAGCAGCCACATGCGGTGTCCTTACATGGTAATGGTTTGGTGCAGGAGTTTCAAATTTGAGAACTTTCATGAAGCTGGGCAACTGGAACATGCTGGAACAGGAATTACTGAAGTCTCTCTTGGAGATGAACTCCGACGGGATGGTGTACGCGTTGGCTGCAGGGAATTTAGAAATGATGGGGTCCAAGCGGGCACTCTGTGAAGGGCAAAGCCACAGCAATCAGCACTGAGCCTGTGGCCCGGAAGGACAGATGTCAGACCTTGCCCAGCACCGGCCCCAAGAGCATTTTACGGACGGTGAGACTGCAGCAGGTAACAATGATAAACTGGCCTCAGGCTTTTGAGGATTTGCCCCTGAAAAATGCAAGTTCAGACCTGTTTCAACTTCTGTAAACTAACTCAAATTATTCACCTGATGTTTGGAACTGGGCGAAAACAGCCATCGATGCATTTCCACCCAGCCCTGTGCAGGCCGCTTAGAGCCGACTCATCAGCTGCTGGGTGAGCGACGGGAGGGGTGCGGCGGACTCTTCCGCTGAGTAGAGGTGCGCGCCTCGTTTCTATGGGGAAAGTATCTGAACTGCTTCGAAACCTCACAGGTGCAAGGCTTGCTGCCCACCCACGCCTCCTACCCACCCATCCCCCCAATTCCTGCTCAGAAAATCCCGTGACATTTTGGCTATTCCCACAGAACCAACCCCACTCCTTTCAGGAAGCCATGATCAACTATTTTCAGTTAAAAAACAAACACAATCAATGTTTGCGAACCAACAGGGACAAAAGCCATAGAAACTCGGTGATAACATCACTGAACCTAGGACAGCACAGCGAGTACGGGAGTCTGATAAAACAAAATCTCCCCCATTGGTTTCCGGTAAAAAGCTTGAGGTTTTCTCCGCTTGCTTGATAGGGGTCAGCAACTCTGCCAGCACAGAGAGTGGGGGAGGCTGAGGGAAGGCGCTTGGCGGTGCTGGCTCTCGGCCTCTGGTGGATGGATCGACCGCGACTCGTGGCCCGTGGCCCGTGGCCCGTGCCCCCTGGGGTGGAGGTGCCACCAGAAGCAGAAGCATTCTTGGCTAAAGCCCAGGTTGTTCCGACCCCAACCTGGGTTCAAGTCTCAGCTCTGCCTTGGAGTTGTAAGGATTTCTTGCCATTTGCAAAAGTGAGGACACCCCACACGCATTGCCTTTGTGTCGTGGCCAGTGGTGAGCCAAGTGTTTGTCGTGGTGTTGTATTGAATCCTGTGATGGGCCTGAGTAGTGGATACTGTGGTAAGGGGTAGGCTCAGCCTTCTCACCCAGGCACTCCGCCTCCCTCAGACAGCCCATTCTTACAAGGAACGGGTGCGCAGGCACGGCCCTGGGTGATGGCGAGCTGATTTGATCTCAGCACCTTCTTGGCTTAGAACACCTACTGACATACACTTTTGGAGAAAACATTCAGTTTCTCAGCAGAGACAAAGTTTCATCATGAGACTCAGAGTGCAGCCACCTAACACCAGCTCACCAGCCCTGCACACCCCACGGCTGCCTTCCCAGGCCTGTGGCCCCCAATGCGGTCAGATGCTGGCTTCTGTGAGCCTCTCTCCCACAGATCCCAGCCTTCCCAGAACCACCCCCGCCACCATGCAAACGCAGAGAAGCCTTCCCAACCTCCGCCGCCGGTCTCACTTCATTTCCTAGCCGGGGCTGTGAGAAACTCTGGGGCAAGGATTGCGAACACATTGGCGAAGCTCCTTAATCCATCTGGACTTAGAGAGATGACAGAGCTTGCCGAAAGGCGGGCTGCAGCCGTTCCAACAGCCACCAGGAAGTTCCTGAACCCCACGGACCCCCAGAGTTTCTTGGGCCGCCTCCCCCATCATCACACTCCTCCTGGCCGTCCTGCCCTTTCTCTGATCAGGGTCGCTTTGAATTCCCTCCGAGTCCTGAGATCCGGAAGTGGAGATGGGGCTGGGAGTGAAAATCACAAACAGGGGCAGAGAGAGGAAATGTTGATCGGGTTTGAAGGAGCCACGGAGGAGGCGGGGACCCGCGGACAAGCCTGCACCTCCACAGGAGGCCCCTGCCCGCAGGCACAGAGGCTTACCCGTGAATAAACAGAAATCCACAGTCCGGGGCCGACAAGGTGGGGCGAAGACGAAGCCCGAACAACTCAGTCCCTGCCTTCTTTGGGTTTGGTCCTGAGCTTTTCCAAGACCCGAAAGCCTGATTAGAGTCTATGAGACCCACGTCGTGCCCCGGCCCCTTCTCCAGGCAGCCTCGCCTCGTCATTTGGAAAGTTACTGCGAGTAAAGCCCAGGACGGTGCTGCTTGTGTGCTCCAATTTAGTCCCTTTTTTTTTTTTTTTTTGGCATCAAGACAGAATGGGCCGTGTCACTGTTTGGCAAAGAACTCCTCGGGGAGAGAAGCTAGGTGTTGCAGGAAGTACTGTGTGTGACTCAGGTGGTAACAACCATAACATTTCACATGTTTATAATGCTTTGCAGTTTCAAAGAGTGTTTCACTCGCTGCAATTCGCCCGCAGCCTCCAGGGAGTCTCCTCCGCTTTTATGAGGCAACGCGGACGCAGGAGAGCACCGGGCTTGAGGTCTTGTCCCACAGCTGAGTCAGGAGCAGGGCTGAGGCCTTGTCCCCCGTGCCAGGACACCATGAGATGGCACTTCTTTGGCCGATTGCTTTTGAGTTTCTTTCCTAGCAGGAATGGGGGCAAAAAAATAGGTAGAGGCCTGGGTGTTCTGTGAACTCCCTGGCGGCAGATGGGAGCTCATCGTCTCTGGGAAGGGGGAGTTAACTCCAGATTTGGTTTGCCCCTTGAGAATTCAGCTCTGCCAAACTTGACTTCCAAGAAGAAGTGGCTGCATTCAGTGTATCTTAAATGGCCCCTTTGTGTGGTTAAAAAAAAATCAATTCCAATGTCAGGTATCGTAATACAAGAGATTATTATAACTTTTAAAGGGACAAGAAGGCACGTGCATTGGGTTAATGTCAGAGTGAGGGTTTGCTGTCTTTCTCACTTTTCTACTTCAGCCAGTGCACCCTTGTGGGACTCTTTCCCCTTTCTATACAAGCCCATTTTTCTTGACAACTTATAATTTTTAAATAAAAAGACAATCCTTGCCCAAGTCAGGTCAGGGCCATTGGCACTTGCCTATAGCTATTTGGCCGGTAGAGCTCTCAACAAAGATGAAGTCCCACATCTTACACAGAGGAATGGGCAATGAAATCCCTCAATTCCAGGTCCTCTGCCTTTTTTTTTTTTTGGTCCCCATCAGATTTCTCGATCATTTGAGCAACCTTATGAGATTATTTGCCAGGGACTGGGACAAGAGGTAGAGAGTCACATTTTCCTGGTAAACCTAAAACCTCAGGAAACACTTGCTTAGTCCATTCCATGACAAAATTGGGTTTGAGCCATCAGGTTCTGGATAGTCCTCCAGCTTCTCCTCTTGTCCCAGCAATGCATGATGGTTAAAAAAAAAAGGTATAGACTCAAGGTCTAGTTCACCTGCATGAAATCCGAGGCAGCGGTTACCCTCCTAATTAGAACCACAGGCCTCCGGAGGGAAGGGGCCAGACATCCAGCCCAAGATGATGCAACAGAGAGAGGGAACCACTGAGCGGTTACTGCAGACAAGGGGGTCTCACCATGGAGGGGAAAGTGCCCGTTCCTTTCTTGGACAGTGAGACACTGTTGGATACTGGAGACCGGTGAGTGACGTTGTAGAACCCAGGACCTGGGACATCATCCTGCAAGGCAAGAGAGCGTCAGTCCCATCCTGCGAGCTTCCCACCCACTGACTCTCTAACCACAGGATGGGCACCACCCTGGGCAGATGGCAGCCCTGCTCCGCCACTTCCCAACCTGCCCATTCTCCAACCAGTTGCCAAACGGTGGGGCTGGAAATCCAATCCAGGCTGCGGCTCCCAAAGCCCTCAGGCCTTCCACCACACCACATTGCATTCCAAGAGAATGCTGTTGTGTTTCCACGTCACGAGAGAAATGAGTGTAAAATGGGACAGTGGACGCGGCTGATGTACACGTCTGTGTGTCTGGATTGGGCAAGCCAAACCCACGGCAAGGGAAGGGTGACCGATTGCACGTTAGCCGCACCCCACCTGACTCAGCTTCCTCCCCAGCCTTTCAGAAGAGAAATCAGGGAGTGTTTCTGTTTATAAAGCAAAATGAAACAACAACCTTCAGCCCAAACAGCACCATTTCTGACTCTCAGACAAAGAAAAAAAGAGGCAAGCCCACGGGCCTCTGCTGCTAGCTGATGCCGGGATGTGGGAGAGGAATAACCGGAAGTGGCATCTGCGGCTCGTTTCTGCTGGCACAGTTAATTGGGCTTTCATCTCGTTCCCCAGGCTCGCTAGCAGGGGCAAGTGACTGTTGACAGAAGGTGGCCAAGCAAGTGGCATAAGAATGAGTAGCCCAAGCGAGAGTCGGGGAGAACTTAGCACTGTGGGTGCAGACTCCATGTGCTGCAGGGAGACAGTTTTCCTAGGGAGCTTCATGCAGGGCAGGCATCCACGGACTGGGTGCTCCGTGTGTGCCGGGCACCGTTCCGAGTGCTCTAAGTATACTCACTCATTTAACCCCCAACTTCAAGTTGAGAAGAAGGGGCCAGAGGAAAGACACAGGTCCCGTCACTGGTAAATGTCAGAGCTGGAATCTGAACCCAGGTGGTCTGACCAGAGAGTCTCCTCTTTGCTACAAAACTCAACCAACTCTCCAATGAGACCACACAGGATACAAGAAACATTTAAGCCCCCTGACTGGGAATGCCTAGTCCCAGTTCCGCTGCTAACAGAGTGACCTTGAGCAAGTCACCTCGCTGGGCCGTGGTTTCCTTAAGCTCAAGGTGTTGGGCTTTGAAGTGCTTTTGAGCTTCCAGAGCCCCTGAATCTGAGACACATTAAGGCAGGCAGTGCAAGCGTGACTTCGAGGTTCAAACAACGAACGGTGAAGACAGACACACACCTACAGCTCCCGGTCTCTCGGCACATTCTCAGCGTGCCTATCCATGCCCAGCCTTCTCCTGAGCGCTCACTGGATTACCAGGTACGACGCAAGGGCCCAATGGTTCAGCCATCCCACCCAGCCCCGTGACATTAGGTTTTCATAAACAACACAGGGCTGTTTTAGTATAAGTATATCCCATGCAATGAGTGGAACATACATTTGTTAAAAGAGTTGTTATCTATCTGAAATTCCAATTTGACTAGATGTCGTGCATTTTTATTTGCTAAATCTGGGCCTTGGTCCTGGTTTCATTCTGCACAGAGGTGGCTAGCTTGAGTCCAGGAAAAAGAGACAGAGGTCTGTCCCCTGGGGCCTGGGGAATGGCCAGCTGCCAGCTTGCTCAGAGCGAATGTCCACGGAGAGTGCTTCGGGCAGCAGCACGCGAAGGCTGGCCGGGGGCAGCCTGAGGGCAGCCGTTGGCAACGCAGAAGTGTGGCAGGTGGCATCTTGGAATTGGCTGGGGGCGGGGGTGGTGGTGGAGTATTTACAGTGCAGCAAAGGGCAAACGCTGTAAATCAGAGCTCGTGTTTGCGGAAGGGAGAGCTGGTTTGCCAGCTCATCACTGTCTTCATGCCGTGCCCACTTGGGTGGCTGGGAGGGACAGGTCCAGGTGGGCGGGCAGCTCTCTGGGGGTCACAGACTCACACTTTGTGTCAGCGTGGGTGAGCCCAGGCCTCTCAGAGCACATTCCAGAGAACAGAAGCCAGGCCGTGACGGCTGGGAACTTAGCTACCGCTTTGGCCTCCTGGCCGAGATCACCTTGAAAGGCAAAAACCAAATCAACCCAAGAAAACTGGGTGTGGGGAGGGAGAGAGCATGCTGACTGCTCCCCATGCTCCTCGGCCAGCCTACGTGAGACAATGCACATGCCGGGGATAGAACAGGGCCGCCGTCCTCCTCTGCCCTGCTGCCCTTGGCTGCTGTCCTCCTCTGCCCCACTGCCCTTGGCCGCCGTCCTCCTCTGCCCTGCTGCCCTTCACACTGCCCGCACAGCTGTACCAGAGCCAGGGCCTGCCCTCGGAAGTTGAAGACCTTCGGGGTAGGACCAAGCACAGGGTGAGTGGCCCCCTGTTCCCATCCCCCGCCCCACACAGCACGGGGCGATGTGATTGCAATACACTCGGAAACCTCTCTGGAGGACTTGAGCCCTGAACGGGCAGCCTCTCATGTGCCAAGCGCAGGGCGGCAGCTGCCTTCACTTGACCTTGGGATGGGTTTGCAGAGCTGATGAGGAGGGGCAGAGAGGAAAGTGGGCCTTCCCAGCCTCACTGCCACAACCTCTGTAGGCTCCAGGAAGACTTCCTGTTCTGCACAGAGAGCCAGGTACAGCTCCATGTACCCCGGGCTTTCTGGTCCTGATTTAATAAATTCTGTCCGATCAACACTTTCATGTTTACCAGGCAGGTGGGTTTGCCCAGTGGTTTTCTGGCAAGGGAATGCGGACTCTGCCGGACCACAGGCCACACAGCACACAAGCTCGGCTTTCTCAGAGACGTTCGCCTTGGGGCTGGCGTGTCCCCAGGGAGCACAGACAAGAAGGAGGAGCAGGCAGAGAGGCTGGAGGTGGAGAGCAGCAGGGGACTGGCCCCAGGTGGCCGCCGGGGCTCGTCTGCCAGCAAAGCCTGCAAGAGTCTCGCGTTCAGGGAGCAACAACTTTCCTTTCACCACTGCCTCCAGTTTGAGGGTCTCAGGACCACGCATCCATCCACTCTGCTGGAGCCCAGAGGTGGGGGGAGTATGGGCCAGAAGGCAGGAGACCCTGCATGGGCCCCAGGGCCCCCTCACTTGCGACTCTGGGAAGAGCGGAGTGGAGAGAGGTGGACGTGTGTCCCCAGACTGTGCTGCTGGCCCCTGTGGTGACCCAGGGGCAAGGGCGGAGGAGTTAGCAGAAGGCAAGGAGGCGCTATCCCAGAGGCTTTCTGGTCACCGCGCCCCTTCCGGTTCAACTGTTGGTGACAGCCTGGCTCCTTAGAATGACGCCCTCCCCACCCTGGCCCCTCCCCAGGCTGTGTTAGAGAGAGGGCGACCAGACCTGAAACCAGGAGACACCAGGGTTGTGCGCACATGAGACAGGCTGCCGGGCACGGAGCCCTAAGGGAGAACCAGAGTGAGCGCAGGGGCAACGGAAGCAAGGTTTTCTTCTTCCCCCAGGGGAACAGCAGCTGCGGGCAAGCTGGGGGCGGCGGGGACCCAGGCTTTGCCCATCACCAGCCTTGCCAGGAGGGAAGTACAAGCAGACAAGAGCAGCCATGCCTGCCGTCCGGAAGCACCATTAAAAGCCAGTCTTGTAGCACCGGCACTGTGGCATAGTAGGTTAAACCTGGCGCCAGCATCCATATGGGCACCGATTCATGTCCTGGCTGCTCCTCTTCCGATCCAGCTCCCTGCTAATGTACCTGGGAAAGCAGTAAAAGATAGTCCAAGTGCTTGGGCCCCTGCAAGCATGTGGGAGACCCAGAAGAAGCTCCTGAATCCTGGCTTTGGATTGGCCCAGCTCTGGCTGTTACAGCCATTTGGGGAGTGAACCAGCAGATGGAAGACTTCTCTGTCTCTCCCTCTCTCTGTCTGTAATTGCCTCTCAAATAAAAAAATAAAACTTTAAAAAAAAAGCCAGTCTGTCCCTGAGAGCGTCTAGGGTCCTTTGCTTTGGGGTCTTCCTCTTCCTTAACTCTGGGAGCAGCTCGCTGTCAGCCCCAGAGCCCTTGAGCAGGCATGGGCAAAAATCCAATTCAAAAGGCATCAGTTGGCACCGACTGTATGCTAGGACCTAGGCCAATGGGCGAAGACACAAGGGTGGCCAGGTAGCAGCCCCCACATTCCAGGAAGGGGACCAAGAGGTCCACCCAAATGAGGAAAAGTGGACGCAGCCTCAGGGCCCAGTGAGAGCTGCACAGGCTTGAGTGGCCAGCATTGGTCCAGTTGGAGGAGTCTGGGGTCTGGAAAGAACCAGGACTGCTTGCCAAGGGGCCCTCAGGCCACCATCATGCTGGGCAGAAGTGCCAGGATGGCAGGGAGGGTGTCCAGGGAGACACTGGGGAAAGTGTTTGGGAAGCAGCAGCTGCTGCCCGGGTTCATCCTCACTCTGCCAACCTTGACCATGGCCGGGAAAGTCATTCACCCTCTTTTCATCTCAGTCATTTTTGGAAAACTGGGGATACGACTTTGGCTCCTGAGGTTTTCTGGGGAATTAAAGGAGCGAATGAACCGAAAAGTCTTGCAGGGAACCTGGCAAGTGGTCAGAGCCAGCCGAGCACATGGCCCTGACAGACCATGGCTGTAGACTCCGAGGAGGGGGTGAGGGGGCTACCCCGAAGAAGGGCAGGAAGTGGGGGCAGCAGAGCTGAGGGCTCCCCCACATGGGTCACTGTCACCCTGACCTGGTGATCTCTGTGAACTGAGCTTCCTTTCATTCCAACACCTCTGCGGGGCCGAACACCTGTGGTCCAGGCTCTCACCAAGTTAGTGAGCGGACAGTGTGAACTTTGTACAATCTGTCTGCATATGAAACACGCACCTTTAAATTGTGCCTGCCTACAGGTGCCGGTGCCTGTGTCTGACAAGGACACGTTCACGGCCACCTGGAAGGGCTAGAACAGCATTCTCTGCTGTGGGCCTAACTATGATAACATCCCCCCTTGTTTTTTACTTTATTTTTAGATGTACTTATTTATGAAGGGAACAGTCACACACACACACACACACACACACAGATCTTCCATCCACTAGTTTGCTCCCCAGATGCCCACAACAGCTGGTGCTGGGCCAGGCTGAAGCCAGGAGCCAGGAATTCTATGCCGGTCTTGCACGCAGGTGGCAGACATCCAAGCCCTTGGCCACCTTCTGCTGCTTTCCCAGGGAGTTAGCAGGGAGCTGGAGCAGAAGCAGAGCCGCTGTGAGGCCAGCATTTCAGGAGGCAGCTTCACCTGCTGCACCACAACGCCGGCCCCCACCCCCTTGTTTTTAAGACAAGGAAGCAATGGTGCAGAGACGTGAATCCACACATCCCGGCACAGTGTTCAGGAGGACGACTTCCCTTCTAGACGCTCCCACGGCCCATCCAGACACTGAGCCCTGGGAAGGATTCCTATGGGGGTCTAAGGTGGGCAAGGAGGCCCAGAGGGTGCACGGCCACACTGGCCGGACACACTGTTGCAGCAATAAGCGGGTCACAGAACGAACGCAAGGATGCAACCAGCGTGTGTGGGTGTGCACCCATGTGAGTGTATACGAATGTGTATATATGTTAATGTGTGTGTGCCTGTGTGTGTGCATGTGAGTGTGTTGGTGTGTGTCAGTGTGTGTATACATGTGCCTGTGTGGGTGGTTGTCTTTCGAAGCTAGAAGTGAGGGTTCTGAGTGCTTTCACCCAGGAGATGGTAACTATTTGACGAGAGAGCCGTGTGTGTGTAGCCGAATTGCAGTGCACATGGAGTGAGTCATCTCATGTACCCTAGAACTGCGTCCAATGTTTGTGTGTTGGTTGAAACAAACCCCAGGCTAACTTCCCAGCGCAGCCTACTTAGACTGCGTCTTCCCCACGGGATCAGGCAGGCTGGAGCCCACACGCGAGCGGGCATCCTCCCCTCTCCCGGATTCTGTCTTCTGGGGCCGTGCCACAGACATGCTGGCTTTCAGAGGGCAAATTTACAGCCTGGTAGGCACAAAGGCAGGCGTGGTGCGTTGTGGGGAAGAACAGGCGCCTTTGCGTGAGCTGGGCCTGGGCCGAGGTCTCATTCTTTCAACATTGATTCAGCAAGTACCTATCTGAGACTCTCAGGTGCCAGGCCCTGTGCTGTGTGACCTCGGGTGGGTCTCCCCACGTCCCTAAGCCTCGGCTTCCTCCCCTGCTGCGTTCACATCATAAAGCTTTCCTTTTAGCGGCGCTCCGAGGATTAGAGGTGCAGGCCGAGAGTGATCTGACACATAGCTGGGATCAGCAGTAAATGGCAGCTAGGATTTTCATGGAAGGTTGGGCCGCAGGCACCCTACAGACAGGCAAGAAATTACCATCACGTTGACACGTGGGAAACCAGAGAGAACACGGGAGAGAAAAGCACAGAACCATAGAGAACTAGAGAGAGAACACAGAAACCTCCCGAACACATATATATCAGCTTTGGGGAAAATCTACAAGAAATTAAGACTATACATGTGGAGCTGACACTGTGGCACAGCAGATAAAGCCACAGCCTGCAGTTCCAGTATCCCATATGGGCGCCAGTTCGAGTCCCGACTGCTCCACTTCTGATCCGGCTCTCTGCTATGTCTCTCTGGGAAAGCAGTAGAAGATGGGCCAAGTCCTTGGGCCCCTGCACCCATGTGGAGACCCAGAGGAAGCTCCTGGCTCCTGGCTTTGGATCTCCGCAGCTCTGGCTGTTGCGGCCATCTGGGGAGCGAACCAGTAGTTGGAAGACCCTCTCTCTTCCTCTCTCTCTGCCTCTGCCTCTCTGTAATTCTGCCTTTCAAATAAATAAATAAATCTTAAAAAAAAAAAAAACTCTCTGTGTGTATGCTATATTCTCTTCTATTTCCTTCCTAGAATCCCACAATTTTAGGAGTAGCAAGAACTTGCTCCCAGAGCAGGACTCAGGCCCCAGGTGGGAGGGGCCAGCCAAGCTCCCTCAACATCCCAACTTGCCTGCATGCAGACCTCACATCTCCTGATCCCTTCTTTGCTCTCTGGGCAAGGGGGGTGAACCCCATTTTTACAGGCAGGCATCTGGCCCAGCAGTTAAGAGCAGCTTGCGATGCCCGCACCCCATATTTAGTGCCTTGGTTTGGGTTCCAGTTCTACTCTGACTCCAATTTCTTGCTGATGCACAGTCTGGGAGGCAGCAGATGGTGACCTAAGTGCTTGGGTCCTTGCCACCCACGTGGGAGACCCGAATAGATTTCCAGGCTCCTGGTTTGGCCTGGCTCAGCGCTGGTTGTTAGGGGCATTCAGGGAGTGAACCAGGGAATGGAAGATTCTCTCTCTCTCTCTCTCTCTCTCTCCCTGTATCTGCCTTTCAAATAAATAAAAAATTCAAAAACAAAAACAGTGCTTAGAATGTAGCAAAAGGTAACTGACAGGATGACTCCTGTGAAAGAACATCCTTTGAAAGGCTTATTTTCATTGGAGAAATCAGAACTTCAAACATGAGAATGCCCGTGGGTCGCTTCTGCCCCCTGCTGATGAGAAGGCTAGACCCCAGAGATCCCAAATCAAGTTGGGTGCGTCAGGAGCCAATCGAAATCTTCCAGGGGCCGGCACTGTGGCGCAGTGGGCTAAAGCCATCCCATACGGGTGCTGGTTCATGTCCTGGCTGCTCCTCTTCCGATCCAGCTCTCTGCTATGGCCTTGGAAAGCAGGAGATGGCCCAAATCCTTGGGCCCCTGCAATACGTGGGAGAGCTGGAAGAAGCTCCTGGCTCCTGGCTCCGGATCAGCTCAGCTCTAGCCATTGCAGTCATTTGGGGAGTGAACCAGTGGAATGGAAGACCTCTCCCTGGCTCTACCTCTCTCTGTAACTCTTTCAAATAAATAAAATAATTCTTAAAACACACACACACACACACACACACACACACACACCTTCCAGATCAGAGAGCAAAAGGGAGGCAAGGAGATTTGGGGAGGAGGATGGAGATGAGGGGAATTCAGGAATAGCCATAACATGTTGTTTAAAGGAGTTAAACATGTGTGTGGTAATTTTAAATTTATTTATTTATTTATTTTTACTTTTTTTTTTTTTTGACAGACAGAGTGGACAGTGAGAGAGAGAGACAGAGAGAAAGGTCTTCCTTTGCCATTGGTTCACCCTCCAATGGTCGCCGCGGCCGGTGCACCGCGCTGATCCGATGGCAGGAGCCAGGTGCTTCTCCTGGTCTCCCATGGGGTGCAGAGCCCAAGCACTTGGGCCATCCTCCACTGCACTCCCAGGCCACAGGAGAGAGCTGGCCTGGAAGAGGGGCAACCGGGACAGAATCCGGCGCCCCGACCGGGACTAGAACCCGGTGTGCCGGCGCCGCAGGCGGAAGATTAGCCTATTGAGCCGCGGCACCGGCCAAATTTAAATTTATTAAACCTGTTTCTCCTCTTCTGTTATTTGAAGAAAGTCATGTGATTTCCTCTTATAAGGAGGCAGGTAGAGGCATTTTTCCCTTTTATTGGATACACTGGGATTTTTTTTGGATTTTGTGTTCTTATAATTTTTAAAGTCTATTTTTATTTAAAAAATCTTTTGGTTCAGTTTGATATTTTTGGCACCATAAGTTCAGACACAGCTGTTTCCCCTGGGATTTCACATTTTTCTAACTCATTTTTGTAATCCACACCTTAAGGCGCCGGCGCTGTGACTCCTTGGGTGACACTGCCCCCTACTGTTCACAGAGAGATGCAGCAGCCCGATGGAAAGTTGTCAGAGGAGGCTAAGGAGACAAAGAGGCTGGAATAGCAGGAAGTTACCTTTTTGTGATAAAATCTCCTGGCTTGACTATTAAATCCTTTCTTTTCCGATTCTGGAATTATTGAATATTGCGACTTAAAAGGAATGGAGGATTGCGTTGGATACGCCGCAGTGAAACCTAAACAGGAGGAACAAAGTGAAAATCAGCACAAACAATGGACTGGCACAGGCAGATCAGAGGGGTGCGTCCTGCAGTTTTATTGTAAATGGAATGGAGCAGCAACTTGCCTTGTCACAGGAAATTAAACACAGTCCTCGCCTTACTTCCTTTCTCTCCTGGAAATGTATTGGGTTCCCACCCGCCCCGGTCCTTACACGAGAGCAAGGCTGGGTCACATTGAGCGCACGGGAGCAGACGGGCCCAGGAGAAAGAAAGCTGTGCGGCTGCTATTCTCGCCAGGCAGGAAGGGGACGGCCTGGAAGAGGGCAGGGGGAGGGACAGAGCCAGCATCCCCGCTCCTCCTGAGCCAAGTCAGACACCAGCAGAGGGGTCAGGGAAGTCAGAGAGGCGCTCCCTCCCACCCACCCCACACCATGTGCGACAGAAGCTAGCCTGGGCCTCTTCCTTGGCCTCCAAGGTACAAACAGTTGCTTTCCTTGCTGACTTATAACTTAACAAGTAAATTGTGCTGGCTGGAGAGTTCCAGAAACTGGCCGTGAGGAAGCTGCCTGAAGCTGCAGTCAGCGTGGCTGGAGGACCAGATCCCCGGCTGCAAACCAAAACCACCGGGCCCCCCGCCAGTCCCCATCACCCAGCCAGAGGCTGACCCGCAGCTGGCCCCACCCTCCACCCCCTCATTCCTGACGCCCTTTTTTCCCACTCTCACTGCTCCCCTCAAAGCCGCCCTGCTACCGTATAACCCCGAGATGGTCTTTGTGACACGAGGAGCCGCCGCCCCCTAGGCTGCCAGCCTCGCGGTGGCCTTGAGTTGACTCCTGTCTCTCTAGTACTGGCTTTCCAGGGGTGAGCAGCCCTGACCTTGTCTTTAGTAACAAGTGCAAAGACCAGCAGGAGTTGCGGGTTTTGTTCTGAAGAGCAGACATGGAGTTGAAAGACTGGAAGGAAATCGTGTCCAGAAAATCAAACCAAAGGTGTGTGTGTCTGGGTCATGACGCATAAAGAAACACACGCGGCAAACTCCCCGCACGGGGAAACGCTGTAGGGTTGCACCTCCCGGCCCAGCAGGCCAGCATCAAACTCTGCCCTGGGAGAGTCACAGGACCCGACTCCATGTCTTGATGCTTCATGGCTGATGGCCTTGAAGCCTCACTCCTCCCTGTTCCCCCCTGGCCCACACCTGTGCAAGCCCCCTCGTGTGGCGCCAGCCAGTGGGACATTCAGACCAGGGACCCCTGCCCTCATTCCAGCCCCACCGCATACCCACAACAGCATCCCCCTGAGACACAGGCCTTCCCGGACAAGCAGGGCTCCCTCCTGCCTCCGGGGGCTGTTCCCCACAGTGAGCCAGGTCATCGTGAAGACCCCCAGTGGAGGAAGCAAGACAGCGAGCGAGAGGTAAGGCAGGCGTGGGCAGGGGCAGGGGCAGGGGCCAGTCTGTGGGACATCATCTTTAAGACCCAGGTCTTGATCTCTAAAGTGTTGAAGAAACAAAATTCCTTTGCAGAGAGGGAAGCCCAGTGCAGTAAGCGCACCTCCAGGGGTGCTGTCAAGAACCAGCTTTCACAGTGAGGAAACTGAGGCTCGGAGAGATTAAGCCCTCAAGCCCACAGCCGTGGTTAAGTGGAGCAGCCGGGGTTTGGACATCTGTGTGACGAGCCCTGTTCTTGAGCTCTCTCCTGTGCTGCCTTTCCGTGAGCCTGGCCCCCAGCAAGCTCTCAATAAACCAGCGAGTGAAACAATGGCAGGAGGGACAATCGAGCCTAGTCTGAGAATGAAGTCAGTAAAGGCAGCGAGGGTATGTGTAGCTAGGGAACACCTGGAGGGGGTTGGTGCTGCGGCGTAGTGCCTGAAGCTGCTATCTGCGATGCCAGCATCCCACAGGGGTGCCGGTTTGAGACCCGGCTGCTCTACTTCCGATCCAGCTCCCTGCTAATGTGCCTGGGAAGGCAGCAGAAGATGGTCCAAGTGCTTGGGCCCCTGCACCCACGTGGGAGACCTGAAGAAACTCTAGGCTCCCAGCTTTGCAGCCATTTGAGGAGTGAACCAGCAGATGGGAGGATCTCTCTCTCTCTCTGTGTGTCTCCCTCTCTGTGACTCTGCCTTTCACATAAATAAAAAGAAGAAATTTTGTTTTCAAAATGTTAAAAAAGAGAACACCTGGAGATTTTAACATGCGCTAAACCTAGCTTCGCGCCTCCCCTTCCCCGCCCCGGCAGGTGGGCAGCTGTGGGATTTTCGCTTTCAGGGAACTCTGCAGCCTGTCAAACATCAGAAGCAGCTGCCAGGGCTCCCAGCTTTTGCTTCTAAAAACCTAAGGCCAGAAAACAAGGGAGAGGGCTTGCCGGGGAGGCAGTGAATGGGGGGGTTCTCCTGGGGAAAGGGAAGGGCCCTCCCCGGCTAAGCCGCTGAAGGGCTCCTGGCTGCAGGGGGCCGGCCTGCCGGACAGGACAGCGCCCCTCGGATGAGAGCAACTGGGAAAGGGAGTAGGAACTCCCTCTGGATAACTGACCCCCTGCTGCCAGCCGGCGTGGGACTGGATCTGCCCCCCACACCCCCAGCTGAAAAAGTTCAAAATGGGTCAGGGCCGCTGAGAGCAGGGAAGGACATCCCGGACGAGGCTGCCCATCAGATGGCCCCAGCCTCCTGCCTGGGGAGCATTCTCAGGCGGGAGGTGTCGGGGCAGCCCCGTCACCTTGTTGAGTTGAAGGAATGGATCCTGGATCCAGAAAGGCCGAGAGAGCAGGAGTTCACAGAGCAGTGGTAGAGAAGGGACAGCTGCACAGAGAGAGCGAGCTGTGGAGCTCAGTACTGCCCCCTCCTGGAGACTTCTGAGTGCCCTCAGCAGGTGCATGTGAGAGAAACCAGGAGGCTGGGGGCAGAGACTCCCAAACGCATTCAAGTGCACAATGAGGCCTAACGGGTCCAGGGCCTGGAATAGCTCCTGTCCCATGGATCACAGCAGAAAACCTGGTAATTCACAGACCACAGGGTACGCAGGAGGGTTCTGCCTTAGAAACAGGGCAACAGTGCCCTGCCCTGGTGCTGCTCTGGCTCCAGCTAACAAGGCTTAAAAGCGAAATCTGAAAAGATCAAACTGTTCCCCAAGTAATTAAGGACAATGTAATTTATCAAAATGGGCACCCAACAGATAAAAATGTAAACATCTGGCATCCATGAAATAGAAATAGATATGCAAAGAAAAAGTACATAATTCAAAGTTATGAGAAAAGAAACAACCAGCGCAGAAATGATACAGACGACAGATTTAGTGAACAAGAACATCCTACTTGTTATTCCAATTGCACTTCTATGTTGAAGAAGCTAGAGAAAAGGCTAAGCATATTAAGTAGACATGGAAAATATTATAAAGGGATCCAAATAAAACATCTATGTGTGAGAACTAAGACATCTGAGATTAAAAATCCATTAAACGGGGGGTGGGCACTTAGCCTGGCAGTTAGGATGCCTTCGTCCCACATCAGAGTGCCCTGCTCTGGTTTCTCCTCCAGTTCCTGACTCCAGCTTCTCGCTAATGTTTGCCCTGGGAGGCAGCAGGTGATGGCTCCCTGCCGCCCACGTGGGAGCACACATGATGGAGTTCCAAGCTTCAGTCCTGGACCAGCCCCACCCACCCATTGCAGACCTTGGGAAAACGAAACAGAAAATAGGAGTTCTCTCTCTCTCTCTGTGTGTCTCTCTGTCACTCAGCTAGATTTATTTTATTAGATTACAGAATAACAAGAGATTAAATGCTGTGGGAATTATTCAAAATAAACCATCAAGAGTAGAGGGACTACAAAATAGAATTTCAGTGATCTATGTGGCAACCTCAAAGAACCTAATATATATGTAACCAGACTCTTCCAAAGAGTCTGGGAAGAAGAAAAATAGAAAAAAAATTTTAAGAAAAAAAGCAAATTGCCCAAATTTGATAAAAACTATAAACTTGCAGATCCAAGAAAGTCAAACAACCTCAAGCACGAGACACAGAAAGAAACCACCGAGGCACACGGTGCCCAAGCTGCTTTTTAAAATGAGGAAAAGGAATCTCTGACGCCAGGCAGAGAGAAGGGACACATTCTATACACAGAAACGAAGTCCAGAACGAGTGTATTACTGCTGGAAACATCGTCAGGGAACTGGAAGAAGAAACCTGCTACCATAGAGTCCTGGGCCCAGTAAGAAATCTTAGAAACCAAGGTGGGTGTTTGGCCTTAGTGGTTAAGATACCCACATCCCATAGCCAAGTGCCCAGGTTCAATCCCCACCCCCAGCTCCTGAGTCCAGATTCCAACTAATGCAGTCTTTGGCAGGCAGTGGTGGTTCAGTGACTGGGTTCCTGCCACCTGCAGGGGAGAGCTGGACTGAATTACAGGTCCTCGGCTTTGGCTCCAGGGCCTTAAGGGGCTGATCCACTGCTGTGAATAAGCAGATGGGAACTCTGTCTCTCTGCTTCTCTTTTTTATGAAGATTTATTTGTTTGAAAGGCAGAGTTAGAAACAGAGAGAGAGAGAGAGAGAGAGAGAGAGAGATCTTCTATCTGGTGTTTCACTTCTCAAATGGCCACAAATGCCAGGGCTGGGCCAGGCCAAAACAAGGAGCCTGGGAATCCATCCAGGTCTCCCACATGAGTACAGGAGCCCAAGCACTTGGGCCATTCTCCACTGCTTCCCCAAGTGCATTAGTAGAGAGCTGGATCGGAAGTGGAGCAGCCAGGACTCAAACCAGCACTTACATGGGATGCTGGCATCGCAGGAAGCAGCTTAACCACTGTGCCACAGCACTGGCTCCGTCCCTCTGCTTCTCATATGAATAAACAAATAATTTTGAAAGACACACAAAGCACAGCTGGTGGGTCAAAGTCCACTGGGTCCTTACTCTAGAGAAAGCACTAAAAAAATACAAAGAGTTATTCCTAACAAGCTAACAAAAGATAAAGTGGAAGCATGAAACATACTCAATACAAAAGACGTAAAAGTAAAGAAAGAACCGATGGA